AAAAAAAAAAAAAAAAAAAAAAAAAAAAAAAAAAAAAAAAAAACATCATAAGAAAAATAAAGTTATACAAAAAAGCACAACTATCAACAAGGAGAGCAGTTGGAGGAAACACTTTTGGAGACACAACTCGTTCTCGCTCACACGCAATGTGGATTTCCACATCCCGATGGCTTCCTTGCCTCTACGGGCTCGTGTTCGCCGTGGGTGCGTTAGCCGCCTCTGATACCGACCCCGATTTCAAAAGTGTACGGACAAAGTTCGTCAAGGACTATAGCGGCACAGGTCCAAGTGAACCCGCGACAGAGAAATATTTTCGTGAGTGCTGTCTATCCAAAGAAACTTCTGAGCTACTGCTAACCCCGTCATTAGACGAGTCTAGGTAAGGTTTACGACGTCATCGGTTTTGAAGTTTTCTTAAAACTAACTTGTTCGATCATAGTTTCCACTATCACTATGATGGACGGTATGTTTTTTTTTTTTTTTTGAGTTCTCTATTCCTGGTTGCGCGTGTACTGAGTTCTGTCATGTTGTAGGTTCGCCGATGAAGAGCTTTCGGAGGAAGAGACGCTGCCACACCTATCACAACTCATTCGAACATACCTGTCAACCATGGCCGATCTGGGTGCTGAAACATGGATAATGCACGGAACTCTTCTGGCGTGGTGGTGGAACCAAAAGGTAGCGTGAGACCATGAGGAATATTAAGACACAACGGCGTTTCCTAACGGTGGGCTAGATCTTTCCATGGGACAATGATATCGACGTCCAGATTTCGGAGCCGACCATCCATTTCCTTGATGAGTATTACAATATGACCGAGCACCATTTCGATATTCCAGGCGTCGAGGGCGGGCGGACCTATTTACTCGAGATCAACCCGAACTACGTTTTCCGTTCCGTCGAAGACAAAAAGAACGTGATTGATGCACGGTGGATTGATACCTCGTCGGGACTGTTTATCGATATTACCGCAGTACGTCCGGATGATGCTAAGAGAAAGAAGGGCGATACCGGAGCTTTAATGTGCAAAGACAAACATCATTTCGATGTAAGTAGCTTGCGCTCAGGGCCACACGCCAGTATAACTGACTTTCGTTCAAGGAAAATGATATATTTCCGCTCCGGAATAGTCGCTTTGAAGATTTCCCGGTTAAGATTCCGTTCGAATACGTCAAGCTCCTTGAGGAGGAATACGGATCCAAGGCCTTAACGGCCACGGATTTCCAAGAGTACGTTTGCACCATTTTCTTTCTGACGGTCTTGTTGGTAAACTGACATCCACTTCGCAGTCACCATTTCAATGAGGAAACTCTAGTTTGGGACCCAGTTTCGTAAGCCATAGTTAGGAACATGCTTGATGGACTTCTTGCTTATACTATCCGCAGGAAACGAAAGCGGTCGCTGCGACGACGAAGCGCTGTCGCTCTTCCCGTTCGAACGACGCCTCTCAAATATAAGATGACATGATATCGCCAACGTTAAAAAAAGGCCTAACTTTTATATTCGCCCGACGAGCCATATACCTTCAACTCGATCTACCTTTGCGATTATGACGACGTGAACCAGCATTGGATTCGGCAAGAATCCCTCCTTTCATATTTTCGGCGTTTCTGCTATTTGGGTTGGTGCATTCTTCAGGCATGGGTTGCACTTGGCGTTCGGTTTCGTATAGCACACATTTGGCTATATTTTTGCTTCTTATCGAAGAATCCTGCGAATGCGCTTCATGGATGTGGACATCTTGGGGCTTGGTACACACATAAAGCCTCATTGTGTGGGTTTGTATCGATATGATTGGTTAATGGATGTACATGATATGTGTGTGTGTATATATATATATTTTTGGGTGGTGTTGGATAAATAGATAGTTTTCTACGGTGTGTCTGGCGGTCGACATGAGTGAACATTGTTTTACTCGATCCCCAATCGTTGACCCGAAAACCCTATTAATAGAGCAGCAAACACTCCAGGCCATGAGGCTTGCTGCTACTTGTCCCAAGCTTTTGAGTTTATCCACCACAATACGAACGGACAAATCAGGTCGAGCTTATGGATGTCCGTCTAAGCCCTGTCTCGGTGAACCTAAACTCTCGTGGCTTGACATTACTGGGAGCCAATACGGGATTGCCCGGTACGAAGATGTTTGACTCACGAAAGGCAGGGCCGATAATAGGAGTTCCACAGCCTCCGATTCAATTTCGATCAGATAAGAAACGGGGATCTGCTGACCTGACCATACCTCTCCTGAAGTGGGCGGGGATGACGTCAGGGGCATTCGTATCTGTCGGTTGGAGCAAATGTATTCCGGAGGCTATAGACCCGTATATCATTTTCCTCTCTTCTATAGTCGTAAATTGTTTACCCTCCGTGTTGATTGGGATGAATTGTGCTGGACAAGATATCATACATCACTGATGTACTTTGTGATATACGTGACTATAGGTTAAGTTGGATTTCTTTGTTTCTGATAAACCTCGGAAACCCTGGTAATAATACGGTAACTAGCGATACACGCTTGAAGAGAACGATAATACCAGGACTAATATATTACTAGTGGTACCCATGAGGCCCTGCAGATTAGTAATGATCCCAGCTGTTCCAGCCAATGAGATCAGCCAAGATCCTATCGTTCGGCCTGGACAGTGGGTAGTGGAGCCAATGAAAGGGACGGAAGACCTCACGCAAGCTCCACTATGAGTCGAAGACTGAAGATCCCGTCTCACTTTCTTTTGGATAATCCCATACCTTAGCATTGTATCCTTTTTTTTTTTTTTTTTCCGCGACTTATGCCTGGTGCTCCTACTCCTATATTATACTCCCTAGGTTCTCCCACCTGGTCGAGAATGTCACAGTTGGTGGATGTTTTCTCTGCTATCTCCACTTCTCCGCCATGTCGTTCCCGCCTGCTGAATCCACACAATCTGCGAATCAATCCCAATATGGCTCAGACCCCCTCTTAAGAACAAGTCCCCCGGCGATCTCTCATGCTACGCAGGACAACGGCCAGCGTAGTTGTATCACCTGTCGTCGTCGGAAGGTCCGCTGCAACAAGAAATGTCCGTGTGTCAACTGTGTAAAGGCGGGCATTGAATGTGTGTTTCCTCCCCCCGGGCGAGCACCGCGCAAGTCGAAACGGCCGCATGATGCAGAACTTCTATCGCGATTGAAGCGCTTAGAGGGTGTGATTGAGCACCTCAGTGAGAAAAATGCATCTCTGTCAACGGTGCCTTCTCCCACGCAACAGCGCAGTGGGTCCGTGACCATAGCTGAATGTCCTGGAAGCGCCGAACCCCCAAATGCAGAGCCCGATGGGTGTCCATTTGACCCGAAGCGAAAGCCACGAAACTTGGAGCATGAGTTTGGAAGATTAGTTATTGAAGAGGGCCGGAGTCGATATGTCAACAATCGGCTTTGGGCAAGCTTGGGAGACGAGGTGAGCTTGTGCCCTTGGTTTAACCATGTCTATATATTTGCCCTCAGCATACTCGATACTGACTCGCGGTTAGATTGAAGAGCTTCAGGACCTCTTGGACCCATCATCGTCGGAGGATGAAGACCATCCCTCTCCAGCGTCCTCTTCGACTCATTCAACGAACCACGATGGGTTCTTGTTTGGATTCTACTCCCTATCGCACTCACTTCGTAGTTTCCATCCCCCACCATTGAAAGTCCCGTTGCTTTGGCAGGCGTATTTGGAAAATGTGGATCCCTTGATGCCCATTATTCATAAGCCGTCGGCGAAGCAATTATTTAAGAACGCCACTGACCATCCGGACTCGCTGGACAAAAACTCCGAAGCTTTGTTACTCTCAATGTATTTCGTAACGATAATAAGTTTGACGCCGGACCAATGCCTTACTCTGCTCGGAGAAGAGCGTGACACTGCCGTGAGTCGATATCGATTCGCTGTCGAACAGGCATTATCTAAGGCGAACCTCTTAAATACTCAGAGCCTGATGCTTCTGCAAGCTGCCGTGATTTTCCTGATCGCGGTACGCCGAGAAGACGATACCAAATTCGTTTGGTCGATGACCTCTCTCGTCATCCGACTTGCCCAAGGATTAGGATTGCATCGAGATGGAACGAACTTTGGTCTAAAGCCCTTTGAAACGGAGATGCGGCGACGATTGTGGTGGCATATCGGACTGCTGGATATTCGGTCCTCTGAGGATCATGGCACTGAGACTCAAATTACCGAAAGAATGTACGATACGCGGCTTCCATTGAATATCAATGACGACGACATCTACCCTGAGATGCAGGAGCCGCCAGAAGAGAGAACTAACTTTACAGAAATGAGTTTCAGCCTCATGCGCTTTGAGATCACAACAGCTCTTCGGCGGGTGAGCTATGCATGTCCAAATACCAATATCCCAGGACCTCAACAGCCGTCGCCAGAGAAATGTGGCAACTTGATCCAAATCGTCAATAAGCGCATCGAGGAAAGATATATCCAACATTGCGATATGAACGTTCCGATCCAATGGGTCACTGCGACAGTTGCTCGCCTTATCCTAACAAAGTTGTGGCTGGTGGTCCACCATCCGATGACAAGGCCATATCAGGGGATAAACTTGACCAACTCTTCCCGCGAAAATCTCTTCCTTGCGTCGGTTGAGGTAGCTGAGTTCGCATGTTTATTATCGGCTGATAAGAACACACAGAAATGGGGCTGGATGTTTGCGATCAATATGCAGTGGCATGCGATTGCCTTCGTCCTGGCCGAACTCTGTGTGCGTCCCATAAACCCCCTGACTGAGCGGGCTTGGACTTCCGTGAGCACCCTCTATGGAGGATGGGTGCAAACAGCAAAACATAGAAAAGGCATGCTCTGGCGGCCGCTCGCCCGGCTGATGAAGCGAGCAGCCGATCACCGAGCTAAACTACAGCAACAGATGCACACTCAGCCTGGGCCCAGCACGGTCGCTTCCTCGAGCACTGCATCTCTCAGTATGGCTGACGGACCGAAAATTATGGATTCCCCGATTTTGCCACGCATCCCAGATTTCCAGTTTTCGCCCAGCACCTTGCCTGATACTACATCGACTAACCCATCATTGAGTGATATCGATTTCAGGAAAGGAGGACCAATGGGGGTGATGACGGACTTGTTCCCTGAGGTGGACTGGCTTTCTTTGCCGACGCCTGGAGATTCTCTTGGTCAACAGCCGGCTGCCAACCCGGCGCCAGCGATTGGTATTCCCGAGGGGTCTGCTCTGCCGCCTGAATTCCCACAGGACTCGTCTAACTTGCAGGTCAACTGGGACGAATGGGATCAAGTGATGCGTGATTTTCAGATGGACATGCGAGATGTACAGCCCATCAATCCTATGGGCAACATCCCAAATAATGTTTCGGGTTGGTTTACCTGATCCACTGACACCTAATTTTATCGGGCCTGGGTGTGCCTTATTGTTGGTTGACTCGACTGTGACCCTGGCGGCCACTCTTACGTTCTATTCTTCTCCGGTGCAGACTGATAAATACAGAGTCTGGTTTGCATGATGGTTATCCATCCTAATTCTCACCTCTCAACTCCTGCAATGCGAATCCTCTCACCTCTACCTCTCGGTCTGGTTCATGTCATGACAAAAACTCTCCAATCTTAATGATATACGATTTACGATGTACGACTGCCTGATGCTTCTCAGTTGATCTGGTTTTTTTATGGGGCTACACGCTCTATAAAATAGTGGCTTGCAGTCTTTATTCCCTGTATTATAGTGCAATGTATAGTATGCCACGTTGAACCCATGGGCTGAAAAATGATACCTATACTTTCCAACAACAACTAGCTCCCTATATTTAAAAACTAAAGGAAAATACACTTACCATCCCTCCCATTCCAACATCTTGCCCGTAGTACGCGTCTCGGACTATAAATCACGTGACCCGAGACCGGAACCAGTGCCGCGGCCAGAGTGTACAGTAAGTAGTGTACACAGTAGCTTCATCAGCGACCCCCAGCAACACCATCAATTGACTTCTCGCGAGAAACATACACACCACCACCGCCGCCATGCCTGCGAAACGCACCACCGCCGCTACGGCGACCCCCACCGCGCCCAAATCCCTCTCCTCCGGCCCCAAGACCCTCACGGCCAACTCCTCCGTCTCCGACATCATCCACACCGTCTGGCAGCAGTACCTGGCGACCACGCCGCAACGAACAATGCTCCTGGATGTCTTCATGGCATTCCTGGTTCTTGTCGGCGGTATTCAGTTCGTCTACTGTGTTGTCGCGGGCAACTATGTACGTTTGATATATTCTACTTTTTCTTTTAACTAGGAACTTTACGATATACTACACTACTACATCCATGCATAACATCATTGCTACCTGTGTTTTTGTCAATTTCCCAATTGGCATTGGATATACAATTGTTATTATTTAAACGGGAAATGAGATTATAGGCTAACCGATGCATTACCAAAACAAAAACAACAGCCCTTCAATGCCTTCCTGAGCGGCTTCTGTGCTGCTGTCGGTCAATTCGTCCTCACGGCTAGCTTGCGTATGCAGACGAGTTCTTCTCCTTCCCAGGGTTCCGGTAAGACGACCGCGAAGGGGAAAGATGGGAAAAGTGCCGATACGGATGGGGTTTCGCATGAGAGGTGAGTTTCTTTTTTTTTTTAAATATTTTTGGGACACTTTTCTTTTCTGGGGTCGTTTTGTCTTGTGATGATGTTTGTGTATGTATGTATGTATACTGACGTCGGGTGTTCCCGTAGGGCGTTTGCGGATTATATCTTTGGGAGTTTGATCTTGCATTTCTTCTGTATTAACTTTATTAACTGATTGAGTTTTTTTTATGGGCTTTTGTTTATGTGATGGTCGGTGGCTGGTTCGTTGGGAGGGGGGGATTTAGTTTAGTTTCCCTGGTGGATTCTTTGTGTCTATTATAGTTTGTTACCTAGGGTTAGATGGTGAATTGATGCGGTTGGTTCCCTTTTTCTCTTGGTCTTTTTTAGGTGGGACTTTGGTTGGGTGTTTGGTCTGCGTAGAGGGGATGTTATGAGTATAGACTCTAAGATTGAGAAGCTATTGATGGAATCCTGAGAACGCCTTTTGTATTTCATACCCGTTCAATCCGTAACCGACTCATGCAATGCCTAATCAGGGTATATAGTAGTAGTAGTCTATGCGTATACTGTACAGTCCATGCGAGTTGCAACCTTCTAAAAGGCTCGTCCAGGTCGTCTCTTCACCGGTGGTTTCTTGACTACGCTGCCACCACCACCACCGGAGCCATTCCGCGATGTGGACGATGCTGTGACACCCCCGACCTTTTTGCCGGTGATGGCTGGACGTCGCACGGCAGATCCTCCCACTTCGACTTCTTTCTTCCGTCTTGATGGGTCGTTCCGCTCGATTTCTCTTTGCTTTTCTGCTGCAGCCCGCTCCCGGTCTGCGGCGATTTGGGTCTCAATCTCCATGCGGCGATTGAATTCTAGTTCCGTTACGCGGCGCTCCCGCTGCGAATATCCTTTTTCCTTGACAGAGTAGAAGACCCCTCCGAGTTCAGCGAGCCACTAGTACAAATAATTAGTTACATGGTTTTAAGGTGGAAGAATCGATCGCAACTTACGTGAGGATCCACGGCAGTGACAGTGGACATGTACTCCTTGCTGGTTAAGATCAATTCGTGGTAGACCACATACTCAGGCACATATCCCAGACCGTACAGCGCACTGGTGGGGTGCAGCTGCATGGTCACACTGGTCCGCAGATTGATGAACTCGCCGATCCCCTTCACCTTAGCTGCTTGGTGGTAAAACCCAGAGCAAATGCATTTACGGATCACATCCCAGTCTGTCCCGCAGCTGACGAGTGGCATCCTCTGCACGGTCATGATGTCATGAAGCTGTTCGCGAACTTCCTTAGCTCGGCGCAGGGCCTTCGAGTGAAGGAAATGTTTGATACACCAGCCATCTGAATAGCCGTTGGTTCTCCATTGGGTATAAACGTGGAGTAGCGTCAAGTGGTCTGATTCGGGGACGAAGAATTTCTCGCGGGCGGCATCCGACTCTTCCTGGCGCTCTTTGGGACGGTAGAAGACACTCGGCACAGACAACATAGATACGATAGTCAGCATTTCCTCACTGCAACTGTAATCTTCGGCGGCCGTTATGAGAAGCTTGGCGAGTGGCGGATCCATGGGGAATGGTGTCATCTGACGTCCCAACGGCGTGAGATCACCAAGGTTATCCAGAGCGCCTAGGGACCAGAGCTCGAACAATGATGTTGAAATGGTTTCCTGTGGCGGTGGATCCATGAAGTCGAAATCCAGGAGGTCCTTGACCCCAAGAGACTTGAGAAGAAGAACCGTGTTGGACAAGCTAGTGCGCTGGATTTCCGGTATAGTCTGTAGATACAGCTCGTTTTTGTATGCCACCTCGGTGTAGAGACGGTATGCTTTGCCAGGCCCTGTTCGTCCCGCACGCCCGGAACGCTGGTTGGCATTGGCTTGTGAGATCGGCGTGATCTGTAGTGTATCCATACCCATTCGGGGGTTATAGACTTTCAGCTTCGAGAAACCAGCGTCAACGACATACATGATACCGTCCACCGTTAAGCTGGTTTCAGCAATGTTTGTTGCAACGATCACCTTCCGTACGCCTGGGGCCGCCTTTTCGAAAATCTTCGCCTGTTGTTCTGCTGGCATTTGACTATAAATAGGTAATATGCTCAGTTTCGGGGGGTCATTCAACAGCTTCAATCGCTCATCGACCAACTCGCAAGTCGCCTCGATATCCTCTTGTCCTGTCATGAAGACAAGGATATCACCGGGACCCTGAGAAACGTGGATGGCCAAGACCTGCTTGACTGCACTATCGACGTAATCCTCGCAGGGCGTACGGGAGAAATGGACATCTACCGGGAATGTCCTTCCAGGGATAATAAACTCCGGGGCACCACCAAAGAATCTTGAAAAGCGCTCTGCATTCATCGTGGCTGAGGTGACAATCAACTTCAGGTCCCTTCTCCGAGCTAATACCTTCTTCAGAAGTCCCATCAATACGTCGGTATTTAGGGCTCTTTCGTGTGCCTCATCCATGATGATGCATGAATATTTGTCAAGGTCAGGTTGGGCTAGCGACTCTCGTAGTAGAACACCATCGGTCATATACTTGATGACCGTCTGATCGGTCGTACAGTCTTCAAATCGAATAGCATATCCGACCAGATCACCCAGATCGACTTCCATTTCCTCACTAACACGCTTTGCGACACTCATGGCAGCGACTCGACGAGGTTGTGTGCAGCCGATCATGCCAAACTTCGAATAGCCGTCTTCATGCAGGAACTGCGTCAATTGGGTTGTTTTCCCCGAACCTGTCTCGCCAACAACCACAATCACCTGGTTATCTCGTATGACTCGTAATAAGTCTTCTCTCACAGCGAAAGCTGGCAAGTATTCTCTCTGCTCGCGAAGCGTCTTGCTCTTGCTAAATGAGCTCTGACCACCCGCATCTTTCTTCAAGTGCTGTGCGAATTTATTTCCATGTTTATACGTTTCCTCCACAGGCAGAGCGACAGCGCTGTCACCCTCGTCTTCCTTGACCCCCATCAAATTCCCAAGTGCCGTTCCCGCCATTGTCGTCGCCTCTTGCGCTTGTTTCTGTCGCTCTCTCTGTTGACGACGTTCCCGCACGACCTTGCTCCCTTTCCGGCTGAACACAGCCATATCACTCTGCGGATCGCGTACGGCTGAAATAGGCTCCAGCTGCTTGGTAAAGATCGTGCGGCCATCGAGGAAAGGCGGGCGGAGGTCATGAACGAGCAAATGTACACGAGTGCCCTCCTCATCTTCGGGCATGAAATCCCCATCGAAGTCTCGTCGTTGGGCGACTCCAGATGTGAGCATTCGGTTCGTTTCCCAGTTGTCGATATCTTTGCGCTTCGCGTCGCGAAGCGGTGGCGGTAGGTTGGAGCTTTTCAGCCGTTTGGCTGGGGGCATGTCGTTGCTTGCCATTGTGAAAATGTAACTCGGTGTCGAGTTATAACAATGTTCACCGAATTGAGGAGCCCCGAAAGGTGTCGAAGACTTTCACAAAGGGCCACCGGTTGCCTGCCCGAAGCCCTGTGCTTAACGTTGAAGCGGAAGAGATGGTTGATAGGAAACTAATTGATTATCGGCGATAAATGAACAAATTATGCAAACAGATGCTTGGTGTCACGTGTTATCAATACCACATTGAGGGGTCAAGCTCAGTTAAGAGAAAGAGTATTTCACACACTAGAATCACGTAAAAAGTGGTTGGAAGATATTGTCTCTGTGGTGGCCTCAATCTGGTCTAGCTTGGTGGTACCCCATACTACAGTGGGATCTTCGCCGCGGACAAGAACACTTGCGCGAAACATCAACTCCGATATCAAACGCCCCGCCCCGCAACTCCAACTTTGCAACAGTGCGCTGTTACGACTCACAGACGAAAATGGCCAGCCAACAGCAAGTAAACCCCAAGAGGCAACAGGGTATGCTTGTCAACCTTCTATGGCTGCGAGAGTATGTGAAAACCGAAGCTAATGCAGCGTAGAGCTCCAGCTCCAATACTCAAATTACAAAAACACACTGCAACAAATGGCGCAGAAGATCGGAGACATCGAGCAGGAAGCTGAGGAGCATAAGTGAGTTTACCTGGCTGTTTTTCTTTTAAGAATAGATCGGCGAACTCTAAATAGCCCGGAATTGTCCAAGAATTTTGACACTGATGTGCACATCCAGGCTTGTCATCGAGACACTCGAACCCCTCCCTGAAGAGAGAAAGTGTTTCCGCATGGTGAATGGTGTTTTGGTTGAGCGGACCATCAAAGATGTCCTACCTACATTGAAAACCAACTCCGATGGCCTGAAGCAAGTGTTGGAAGAGCTGTTGAAGCAGTACAAGTCTAAGCAGACGGAAATGGACAACTGGAAGGTTAGTTTATTTTCGATCGCTGTGCAAGATTGGACAGAGAGGTCAAACAGAGAACGAAGGATGAGGGCTAACTTATCTTGCTATACAGAAAAAGAACAATATCCAAGTCGTACAACCTTGAACCCAATTTGATTTATATTAGCGATTCGTTATCTCTTTCTACGCCCCTTTTCTAATGTCATGTATTGGTTCATTGGGAGATAGAGGGAGAACAAAATGGCGTTACCAGGAGTCTGAAAACAAGTCCGCATGTTTAGACAGGCCTCGTAGCCTTTGCGCTAGGGCCACGATAGAAATCGCCTACGTCGCAAAACCGGCCAAATAGCCCAGTTCTGTATACAATGCTAGCCTATGGAACTAGGTAGGCGTATGAGAAAAGAATGGTTAGACATGCTTGCTCGCCCCTATGTCTAATTACAGGGCTGGGGCTGACGCAGGATAGTTATAGATTGGAATCTTTCACTGCAGACTCTTCTTCCTGGGCTTCCTAGACTACATCCTGATAAAGATAAATCCAAGCGATATGAGCTCCTGCAGAGCAAACCAAGCCAGTCTCTTCAGTAGAGTATCCACATCCTCTCCGTCATTATGCTCTCTCTTTGCTATCTGCATATGAATGAATAGTATAGTATTATTACAATTTACTTTCTTCGTTGCTGTTCATAAGAGTCTTCCCTTGTCTGCTTTTGCGTCCAAGGTTAAATGGCACGAGTTATACTTTCGAGCTTTCGCCTTATGCACTTTATTTGCTTTGTTTGTTGGCATCGTGCTCACTTGAAAGGTGCTTGGCCACCAAAAGATGTGCGCGTATAGCTGGGTTAGTGGATATAATAGCTCCGGGAAGGGGTGGAAGCAGGTACGAGGGAGCAATGTAATGCGTGGGGTTGAACGGTATAGCAGAAAACAGTACGAGAGTGAATATACGGATAAGAGGCGAGATATTGAAGTGATCTCGTAGTGAGAGTTACATACAGACGATACCCTTGGTTTAGAATGCCGTTAGAGCATGCGGCTTGCTTAAAAGTACAGGAAAACAAATGTAGATTGAGATATTTCTTCTACCCTTCCTCATCATTACTGCATGTAAGGCCTCTGTGTTAGCCTTAAAGTACTATATCGTCATATTATGAGCCATATCAGTCTTGGAGTGGCTGGTTATACCAATTTACGTAAATACCCATGAAGAACTCCAGGTTCTGCTCTTCAGAAGCCCATAAGGGCTCAAAAGTCTGTAGGGCATCAGTTCCGAGGAGAAATGTATCACAGCATGTCGCATTCACTGTTACCGTTCCAGTGGGACTCACATATTAGAGATTACTACAATCCTATACAATACTCGATCAGACTTAGCTACTGCAAGTATATGTCCATCGTCCTGTTGTAGATGAGACAAACAGGTCCTTGGTGACGTTCTTCGGCGAGATATAGAGTATGCGATGTTGATGACGCCACGGTAACAGAGTCTTGTTGGGTTAACATGTGGACGGCGAATGACCACCATATAGTGTAGTTCGACAGGTATACACTGCCAGCTGTTATAGTGTTTGGTGTAAGAGCCAATCAGGGGACTGCAGGGAGATAGTGTCAGAAAGTAGGTTGTTTCAGAATGACATGCCGGTCTACCACTCCGGTAGGACCTCGTCTGATCACTTTCTATCCCACGTTCTGACTGGTTGCTTCATGTCAGCCTCGGCGAACTTGCCGATGAACCTGCATACTCTGGAGTACTGACGAGAAGACAGCCTGGACGAACAATCCCACTTGTCCTATTCTAGTCCCTACATTATGGGTGATGAAGCATGTGTGGTTTTCGCACGGGACCCTGAGATAGGGCATACATGACCGGCTCTTGGGTAGAAAAATGTGATTGATCCACCGGCCCCAGAAACAGTCGATGGGTAGATGCCTTGCACCACCACCACGCTGGTCTTGGGCTGCAGGTGGGTGGCTGGATGCTGCAGGTTTGCCTGATATAAAAATATCAAGGCATACAAGGCCAACTGTTAGTCCACCTTGTCTTTATTCACATAATTGTTGTCTATTTGGATGCCTGATCCGACGCTCCACTCTTTTCCCTTGCATCAGATGTAGGTGATGGGCGGGGCAGACTAGGTAATAGACAGAACCCAAATGACAGACTAGGCCACTAGGAACAGAGGATCCGAGGGTTTGATCTGGTGACAGGAGATACTCTGGTCAACCTAGTACTTCGAGCGAGTATTAAGTACCTCTCTGGTCATACCAAAACCGGCCAATAAAGACGCTGAAAGCGAAGTTTTGTTCGTGCTGCGCTTCAGGGTTCCCACTTTGCAGACAGCGGTTGCTCGGGTGGGTAAGGTATATACGATGGTTGGATGGCAGTGCATTGGATTAATAATGTGATGGAATTGACATTAGTTACTCTGTATGACGGTATGACGACGCAGATATTGTCGAGAATGTCGTTCTGGGAGTACTATGGATGTACACTAGACAAGTATGTACATACTAAGTAACTTCAAAGAAGTAGTGGTAATGGTACTGCTCCTGGAGTAATCATGTATCACGTGTGTTACGTTTCTAATACACCCCCCTCTGCAGCTTTGCGTGGGAGCCATGGCCAGAGACGAGGATTGATACCAGATTCTCCTGTATGACAATGGTATTAATTCCGCTCTAGGAGAGAGAGTCCTGAGGCCATCCACTTCTTTGGCCTTGTCCATCTCCCGTCACGGTCACTGTCTCTCTCTCTCCTTCCTCACTCGCAACACACTTTCTTTCTGCATCCTTTCTCGTTCTCCCCCTCAATCAATCTATCACTCCGTTTCAATCCAATCCATCATCAAATCATCTTTTTCTTCCCGTCGGTAATTCTCCATTTCCCCGTTCCTTCGCGATCTATGTGGAGGAGAGGATCATTTTCCATAACATCATCAACTCTCATTGGTTTTTGGTACTAGCCAGTGATCGTGCTTGACTGTCAGGAACTTCTGGTTCGCCAATTGATTGCCTGCGCGCATCCCCAGTAATTATCACTGTTATCTACTGGTCCAGAGAACCAACCACCCCCTCTCAACCAGCATCGTGTGGCTCCTTAAAGCAAAATAACCCGATCGCCGAATCGACCTGGTTCCTTGAACGTTTCCACCCCCCATCTGAGCAACGTGCCACTGCCCAGTGACCCACAGGTTACCTTTCGTGTTGCATTACCCGCGTCACGTCCCGCTCTCCCAGATCTCGCCCGTATTGGAGTGGACGTTACCACCTGCTGCAGTTTGTAAGTCTAACTCTTTCCTGACTTGGCCCCAACAACGCCCTGGAGGTTCCAGAAGATCGGTGCGCCATCCTCAATCGCTGGGCATCAAATCAGATTTAGTCCAACCACCAAAATTACCAAAATACCCCAAAACAGTCATAATAATCCCCCAATAAACAAGCTCTACCGCCGCGCTTCTCTTATGATCATCGTCGAATAAACATCCCGGTGGACCTTAACTTACATACTGCCAGCAGAGCTGTCACGGAAGCATTGCCAATCCCCCACACGCGCTGACTTTTGCTCCTCATCCTTCCCCATTTAGGCTGCTGTGAAGCGAATCCAATCGCTGCCCAGCCAGGTACCCTCTTCCCTTGGCGCAAAGCTATCCTCGCGTTCAGGGCCGAAATCCATCGCGCGCCGCCCGCATCGGTGACGTGGTTTGCCAACAGAGCAAATAGCATCAGTCGCTCCCTTCTAAATCCAGCACCCGCTGCGCGCCCCAAAAACAGCTAAAAATCATGTCGTCGACCTCTCCTTCGAAAGAACCGGAAGTGGAACCTGAAGTTCAATCAGGTGAAGAGCAGGAACAAATGGACAAGGAACAACAGGACCAGGCACAAAACCAAGGAGAGTTTGAAGTGAAGGAGCAGGATAGGTGGTTACCCATTGCCAATGGTTAGTTGCGCCCCTCTGCAGCTCCTGATTTGCGCGTACCTTGCGGCTTGCCTGCTGGTCAACAGCGGTCTTCCCAACTATATTTGCCCACCACCCATACAAGTCGTTTTACACTTTTTTTTCTTCCTCTTTCTTTTTTCCTCCCCCATGCCCTCTTTTTCTTATTGTCAAGAGTCGTCGCCCTTTGCTCCTATATGTTTTATTTCTCTATCTTTGCAGGGCAAGCATGCCCACCCTCCCCTAATGCGCCAATCGAGTCTTTCGCTCGATGCGCATCGACGGATGTCTTCTGCGCTATCAGAATGTAAATGCGACGCGGATGTGCTAACTTCTAGTTTAAAGTTGCCCGCATCATGAAATTGGCCCTGCCGGACAATGCCAAGATTGCAAAAGAAGCCAAGGAATGTATGCAAGAATGTGTGAGCGAATTCATTTCATTCATTACCAGTGAAGGTTAGTATAGCCGTGTTATCCGGTTGCCAGTAAATATTCGCCAGCGTAATCTCACTGGAATCACAGCGTCCGAGAAGTGCCAACAGGAAAAGCGCAAAACCGTCAATGGAGAGGACATCCTGTTTGCTATGACCTCACTGGGTTTTGAAAACTATGCGGAAGCCCTTAAAATCTATTTGTCAAAGTACCGTGAGGTGAGACTTGTGCAACGCTCTGAGTCCCCTGCCATTCCACCAGCCGTCGGCAGTGTTCTCGGCTAGGATGTACAATGCTGATTGACTTTGTAGACCCAATCCGCGAGGGGTGAGCATCAGAACAGGCCAACAAGCAGCGGATACGCCTCTGGCGGTCCGGTCGGAGGCGTAAGTAACGCTCCGGGAGGACGTCCGGCAACCGCGGGAGGGTTCCCCGATGCTGCTGATAACGCCAACAGCATCATGAATCCAAGCTTGGATCCCACTGAACAAGATGCCTCTGCCTATGGGTACCCGGCCATGGTGGGCCAGGCGCACAATGGAACGGCTGGCGATACCTACTAATGCCTGTGCACGTGAGATCTGAGGAACCAACAGCCTTTCTCCGTCAAAGATCGACCGACGTTGCACTCGACACGGCTTAAGGCTTAGGAAGCCAACCTTGTGTTATTGCTAGGCCCAGAGCTCTGATACCGGGCGAAAGGTCTTTTCTTACCTTCGGAGCGTCTCCCTGTACAGCATCTTAATGACGTCGTACGATGCAATGGGTTATTTATGGGATATTTATGGATTGATTACGAGTACAGAGATATAAAGAGAGTTGTGAAGGGTTGGCGCGTTGTCTTATTTTCTTTTTGGGGGTCAACGCCTATGCGATGTCTTCTTGGACTCAGAACAAGACTTGCTTGTACAATTGCTTGTAAAATGGGCCACTCCAGAACTTCTTCGAGTTTTTCTTATACAGTCATATCCCTCATTTGCGTGTTTGGGCTGGGTGACGTGTGGGGCTCACATCGACTCGACTCAGCTTCTGCTTGTATTTAGTGATTCCAGTTGATTTGTTTTTCTCAACGTATGAAACAGTGTAGGAGGTACCGATAGAGAGAGAATGAAATAGGACTTCACGGTCCTCGATGATACCTGAGCGAACTTTTACATTTGGACTTCAAGAGCTCGATGTAGTTTGCACTTGGTGCGAAGTTATATACGGTAATTTATATGTATCATGTGTAATCCATTATTGTCATATGATCATCAACAAAGACGAAACAGGTATCATTAACATCGCCATTCTAGTCAAATCCAAAGGAATAAAACAATCGAGATATACCCGCTGGAAAGTATGTATCTATCCATGCATCCAGCCTCCGTCCTGGAGAAGGTCAGACATGGGAGTTTCCTGCCAATATATTTGGCGCCATTCATCTTCTAACTCTGGCAATCCTTCCATGGGAACGGGAAGAACGGACTGATCTGGATCGGTAAAGGAAAAGAGCTGTCGCCAATCTAGAAACTCTCTAGGTTGGTCTATGGGGTCCACAGAAGCGAGATGACTAGACGGGATCCAGCTGTCGAATGGCTGGTTCTGGTGGGGACTCATGCTGGTTGGGGGCATATGCGGAGATTCGGGGGTAGGAACTTCGTATGGAAGTTGCGGCTCGTTCTGAGGGCTCTGTAAAGTGGTATTTGAATTGGGATTTGGGGTTGGGGTGGGATGGGGATTAGATGGATTAGTTGTACTCTTATTTTGATCATGTGTGCTGAATCGTCGTGGTCTTTCGCTGGTAGCCATGCGCAAGTCCTCCTGGAGTCGTTTGGAGTCTTGGAATAACCTTAAGATGGTGTTGGCGTGAGACCAATACTCCGCAAGTTCACGGAGAGAATATGAGGCCGAGTCGAAGCGGCGCAAAGCGTTGATTGCGAGGACAGGATTGGAGAATCGAAGTTCTACCCGAACTTGAATCATTGCCGTGAAGAGCGTATGCACTCCGGAGTACCACAAGAACTTCAGCCTGTCGTTCAGGCGGAGTTCCTCGAATATGGAAGCGATAACTCCAGCGGCAGCACTGCAGATTTCTGCGTCGTGTGGACCGTAGTCATCTGAGTATGCGGAAGCTCTTGGATGTGGCCGATGAAGAAGAATCAGGAAGTTGTTGTATGTCAGATGAAGCATAGCAGACCACGGATCCATATCGGAGGCTCGTAGGCGTAAACTATCTGGCAGCTTGAGGGACCAATTCGCTAGGGCTTCGTCGGCTTCTTGCAAGGCAGCTTTGCGGCGCTCAGCGCTGACTCTCAACCCAAACCGTTCTCGCACGATATACGAGATCATCGTACACAGTTCTGAGAAGTGAATAACATACTCCGCTTGCACTCGAGAACCACACCCTTCAAAGTCAGACGGAGTCAAAGGGGAGACATCTGAATCCTCAAGGTTACTAAGGTAAGCTTTGGGTTAGAGCACGAATTCCCAGATCCGGACAATAAGCGAGTGAACGCAACTTACATAGCTTGTGGTCGGCCATATGACAATGACACCATAACATCAAATTGGACCAGAATGTACCACAACCTTCTCCACATCCGGCGATCACGAGGTACAAATTTGCTAGATACTGGGTTACGGTGCATACCAAGACCTGTAGCGATTCTAGCAGCCACACCCACCCAGTAGTGAGCATTAGCCGCTACGTCGTCATCGGCACTGTCCGAGTGCCATGTCATGAGCAATGCAGCTTGAACCATAATATCACGATTGCGTTCAATGCGACTGTCGAATAGCCATTTGACACGACGGAAGAAGATTTCCTTCAGCGCATCTCGCTCTGCTTTTGGACGTGTGACATGGGCCCCGACAAGCAAAATGGCTTGGAGAAGTAATATGGGAGGCGGGTCGGCAGGGTCGCGATTACGATATTGAGCCATAAATAGATCCTCCTCAATTATGGGATACCCTGGGTTTACGTGCGTGAAGTACGCCTGTACCAGCTCGTCAGCAAGGGCTGGTTCTGGCAGCGTGAGGGCATCCATAAGGAGCTGGTCATGACCTGTTCTCAATTGCCGTCGAGGAATTTCATTGCCCGCGAAGTGATACACATCGTCGTCTTTATCTCGCTGTTGCCGGATCAAGAATGACATGTTCGAAAGTTCATGACCAACATATATTGCCCTCACACCCCTTTGAATTTCTCGACTGCCCGACTCCTCCTCATCGATCAACTTCACGAGTCGCTTCTCCAAGTCTGCATTGTTTTCCAATTCCATGGGCCGGTCGGCACCCGGCTGGCGATTGAATGTTTGAGTTTCCGTAATCGGTTGGGAACCATGGTTGTTGGAGATATGGCCACCATTGGTGTAGCCAGAGTGTGGTGATTGGATGATCTGAGTGCCGGCTGCGACAGGACTCGTCACGTCGGGTTGGACGCCCCGAAAGGCAGTTGTGAAAGCATTCGGCTGGATAGGTGTAGATGGTAATGGATTGGGAGTAGAATCGGAGTCATGGGGCGGACGGCAGCGAATGGGGACTGGGTCAAGAATGGAACGCACAGCCAGGCGTTTTTTCTTCTCATGGATGCGGCAATCGGCCTTTCCCGCAGTGCGACAATTCGAGCAAGGTAAGCCGACAATGCGAGCATCGCATCGGACTTTACGCCGATGACAGTGAATACAGGCTGCGGAGCCTAGATCGCATTAAGTCAGCATATCCACACCCAGACAGAAGCATCATGATGGGTGGTGACCGTGCTGCGTACCTGACTTGCGTTTAGTCACACCATTGCCGGTGGATGGTTGGCTGTTATGCGCGGTGGAGGACATAGCAAAGCATCGATGCAGGTTCAGGGTCCGAGGACTAGCAACTTCATCCTTGATAATGGAGCAGTTGTAAGGTTGAAGGGATTGCTTGTTTTCAAGACATGATCAAGGAGAGAGTAGCAATGGGAATTGTGAAACGTAAGAAAAAGGGAAAGAGGAGGAGAAATCGATAGAGCCGGAGAACTAGTGGTGGGGCATCTGCCGGCGAGTCTGGGGCAGATCACGTGTGTGCGGAGAAGTTCCAATTGGGAAAAGATCACGAGATGTCAAGTATTCAGTACATAATCCTAATTGATCTTACTGGTACTTTCCATCAATACCCTCCTTGGTGTGCATATGAATCAAAGCTTGTAAGTTTGTTAATGAACCCTCACTGTGACTCCATTCTCCCATTGCCAAGTCATAGTTGATCTTATGCGATTATCTTCATTATATAATATCTCCAAATATTCTGTTGGTGGGACTCAACCAAGAGATATCGAATTATCGATAGCCAACCATCCGCCAATCAGCGTCAGCGAATCTATACTTAGGTACTAATTGAGTTCCCTATCTTTCCACTTATCGGCTGTCGGAAACCAACCATACCACGGATGTCACGCTTAATTTTTATTCTTAAGATTATATACCCCGTGACCACAGATCATCTTTAACTACAACCACTGAAAAAGGGTCAGTACACCATGTTAATAGTAGCTTTACTAGTGATGACGCACAGATAGGGACTCCTTCTAGATGGAGATGGTGCTACATAGACTAGTCGCACGAATCGTGCCATAATTCTCTTGAATCACATACATACCTACTACCCATTTGTTATATCATTGAGCTGTCATCTAGGTTGCTATTAAGGATATCTTTGCTCTATGTTCTACATATCCCTCGGTCTGCGATAACCTCATCTACGACAGGACGCTATGTACCGTGGTACCAACTTATCGACAGGCACGCACCCTCGAATGCTGCTCAAAAATATCAATATGATCAACCAAACACGAATTTCTTCCAATTTTCGGCAAGCTGCCGAACACCTTGGCGCAAATCCCATCCGCGCAGCTCACAGATCTGCCGAGCGACTTCTTCCAATAAATCATCCATCTGCTGCCCAGCGGTGTGCAAGTCACTTTCTATGAGGATCCTGTCATCCGGTAAGGCTTTGATGACTTCGACGATCTTTTGGGGCGACGGTCCGTTGAAGTTGATCACGGTGGAGAATGAGAAATACACATCTGAAGGGTTCGACGAATTTAAGAACTGCTTCAGAGGCTCCACGTGGCCTGAATACGAATGCATACAGATTCTTGGTGGGAAAGGAAGCGGTGACCTTTTGGCCGTGATCGGTTTTTGTTGCTCTTCTTCCACGTCACTCTGCGCGTGAGCATCTGCGGCACTGTAACGCCGTGCCCTCTCCCGTCGCGACGGCTTCTTTCGCTCATGGCCAGTCCACAACTTCTTGAAAAGATCAAATATTGCTCCGTGGCACTGAACGCTGTGTACAGAGACGGGCCGCTGGAGTTCTCCCGCCAGGCGCAACTGAGCTTCTAGCACTACCTTTTGATGTTCTAACTGAACTTTATGAGGAGAAAGGGCTCGACCTTCGCGAGACCCGGGGGTCAACTGTGAATCACGACCCTCCTTCTCGTGCTGCGTCCAGACTTGGGGAAGTCTAAAAGCGCGGTCAAGGCCAATCTCTCCCACAAGAGCGGCGGGATGGTTTAACAACCGCTCGCGTGTTTCTGAGATAAGCTGTGAAAGCGGTTTCGGGTCTGGTAGAGCCGATATAAAAGTATCCGCTGGTGACGGAGTAAGGACTTTGCTGTAATGCGCTTGTTTCTTGACTGACGCCGATGTGACTTCAGTTTCTGTCTTCCGCATATCGTCAAGGATCTGGTGGGAAAACCAAGGATGCCAGCCAAAGCAAGGCAGTACACGTCCAATACTTTGTCCCGATAGTGACGGTGGCTGTCCACTTCTGAGAGTTGCAGCAGTCTGATGTACCAGTTCTTGGTCTTCTCCCCGCGTAGCCATGACTGTAAGCGTGGTTGCCCTCATTCCAGGAATCTCCGCAATGGATGACATAGTATCGGTGGGATGACAATGGGCGTCGAACACCCCAATATCCCAGGGAAAACCTGTCCCATCTTGAATTTCCTGGTGTGTCATGCTAGTTAGGGTTGCGTTGACGAAATGGTTTAAAGAGGTCAGAAAGGCTCCATAAATACCGGCTCTGGGACTGTGATGTAATGAATCGTTTTAGTTTCATCCGTGGCCCTACTAATTGCTGCCTGAGGCAGTAGATCGTCACATGCTGCTTCTCCGCATTTTATGGTTATTGTTTAACAAAGTAAGCCGATGGATCGATGCTTTTCTTATTCTTCTTGCCTCCCTCTTCAAAGATCAAAATGCCTTCTTCTTGACGATTCATATCACACAATTTGGTATTGCATAGCGTGGTTAACTTGCTACATCTACCCCTCAATTTAGAAACCGAGTACTATATATTTTCTACAAGTCTTCATGTCAACCACTACTTTCTTTACACTACCATTTCTCGCCCTCATCTCTATACCTCTCGTCATATCGGCTTATATTACCATCTGCTTCTCTGTGCTGGCTTTGTTTCTACGGCTTTCCGTGATCTACATTGAACTATGCTATGCGATCATCGCTAATTACTTTGTCATTCCCACGTCCAACACCTCGTCCCTCTTAAACTTCGCCCCTTCTGAACCCACGACACCGCTAGCTGCTACGACACCAAAGCGCCGTTCATTGGATTACGGCAGGTCCATCCATTTCTCAAACTCCAGTTGCTACCAGTCCAACCCAGTTTCCCCTAGCCATAGTCGGCCAGGCCGCGGCCAGCGACGCAACAGTTCACATATTGAAGAATCAAATGACCAGGACAGTGCGCTCCACGACATTGATGGACGACGAACCCGAAGAGGAGAGCCTCATAAAAATGGGTACTACCCGTCGTTGCGGGGCTTTCTCGGCCTGATTAGTGGCGACGAGAGGAGGGATTTCGAGGGCGTAGGTGGATGGCGCTGTTGGGCGTCATCCTCTAAAGTCTATGGACTTCATTCAAGATCCGTGTCTTCATCCTCCAGTAACAGCGTAAGTGAGGAGGCAGACGAGAGGGCCTGGCTTTCCATCAATAATCGGTTGGAATTGCCGTCGCAACCACTTGGCATGAGGAATAACGAGCCTTCGGAGCATTCGCTACCCTGGAGACATAGACAAATATTGACCAGCCCTGATGATAGCCATGGCCTCCACCATCGCCGCTCAGCTACCACATCGGTGTTGTCCAGCCTAAGCATGCGCACCCAGAACTCATTATCCCTGTCTCTATCGATTCGGCCGGAGAATCCTGCACTTGAATCCTGGTCAAGAGCAGTATCGCCACACTCACAGCCCCGACAATCAATAGGAGACATTCCTTCTGTGATGCTGAGCTCGTCCCATACCAACAGCTATGTTGTAAACCCAGCCGATGGCTCTGGCGGTTACTTTAGTTTACGACCTAGCAGTGGAATTAGCAGCAGAACCACAACGCCGGGGAGCACGACACCGGTTGACGAAAACGAGTCCCCGAGAGCCATGGGTAGAACCATGGCGCACTACCCTGGTGGTGTGAGATACCGTCGGAGGAGCATATCTGGTCCTAATTCCAGCGCTCGAATCGTGAGGTCTACCTAGGGCTTGAGCGGGTTAGTGATGGGAGGCGATTTGTTGTGATGATATACTGAGGCTTCCTCTAGGCTATGTCGGTAGAATCATTAGAGGAGGGCGTAAAATTGTCAAATATTCGTGACTTTCCCAGTAAATAAAATCGCTAGAGGGCAATCGAGAGTATAGTAGCATAAAACATAAATCATGAGGTGGTTATTTACTATAGTATATACGGAGTAGAGTATGTAGTTGGTATAGTATGTATTGTTTTGGTACGATACGAAACAATACTCTCGGGATCCGCGATGTTCCATTACGGGACAGTTGAGCGTCATCGTCCTGTTGGGGTTTCCACTTCTCACTCCCGCCCAATCGTTCCTTTGCAATTGTCCTTTTGCTTGCTGTCTTTTTTTCTTGTTATGTATAGTACTTTACTTACATCTTGTCTACACAATCCTCCGCCACCTCTCCATTCTAGATTAACTCCTCGCTAAGACTCAATTCCTCGACATTCTTTTTCATACTCTCTTCTTCCTTTGTGCCTGTTGTCATCCATCGTTGCCTGCTTCGGGGTTAGTTCGATTGGATCGGACATAAGCGGCTTTTGGCTTCTCATCCGCCCGATATTTGCCTTTTCTGGTCTCTACGGGCCTCGATTACCATTCATATAAGTCCCGCTGCTGCCCTTGCTTTTCTCCTCGTCTCTCTCTGCGGGTGACAGAGAATATTACTCTGTCACTCTCTGTTCTGCGCAACAAGGTGTCTACCGCGCGACTTACTTCGCTTACCTCTCAGGTCTCTCGATCCTGGGTCGCATTCCAACATCCACATCCCTTAGCGTCGTCTGGCCCCCTTTTCCTTGGTCGCCACGCCTCATCGATGGCCTCGCAATCCTTGGAATCGTCCAAGGACGATTTAGCCTCCCACCAGGGCGGTACCCCTCATGCGGCTCGCGGAGCCAGCGCAACCCCGCCACCCTCGGCCTGGTTCCCACTAGGTTACAGAGAAGGCTTCAGTCAATGGGTATGTTGTCAAACCCGGAAATAAGCTCAAGTGTCAGTCACTGAGATGGCTTTCCAGTGGTCGAGTCTGCCGGCTGCCGCAGCCGAGCATAAGGTTCTCTCATACTTGCCCTACCTTCAACATGAACCCCCTACGCATTTGCAAACCGGAAAAACAAGTAACCTCCCAAGTGGCGAACCGGGGAGCTTACAATCGGCCGACCACAGCCAGGAGGGCGAGGTAGCGGCCAATTCACTCAACGATCCCTATGGTCCTCGGAGGTGGCGCTCCAGCATGGTCGAGCTGAGCGGCAAAAATCGAGCTCTTAACGAATTTTCTGTGGAGCGAATTGGGGAGGAAGCAAACCACCACTTAGTGATGGTTCATGGATATGGAGCCGGGTTGGGCTTCTTCTACAAGAATTTTGAACCTCTGAGCCGACTGAAAGGGTGGCAACTACATGCGCTAGACTTGCTGGGAATGGGCCGTAGCACACGGCCGCCGTTCCGTATCAAGGCGAAAGACCGTGAAGATGCTATCAGAGAGGCGGAAGATTGGTTTGTGGACGCCCTGGAGGAATGGCGCGTCAAACGCAAAATCGATCGCTTCACTTTGCTCGGCCATAGTTTGGGAGGTTACATGGCGGTCGCCTATGCCCTTAAATATCCTGGTCGCTTAAACAAGCTCATCTTAGCTTCACCGGTTGGGATTCCGGAAGACCCATATGCTGTGTCAGCAGATATGCCGTCCGAGTCCACGATGGCCAATGAATTCTCCCAGGATCAGCGCAAAATCGCAGAGTCCGCTTCATCAGTGCCGCCGGAGACAATCCAGAAAGGTGACAACAACATCCTCCTAAAAGGCCCGCCGACAAGAAGTGCTGCTTCCGATCGGCCTCCCCGACGAATGATTCCCAAGTGGTTTGCCTATCTGTGGGAGGCCAATATATCTCCCTTCAGCCTGATTCGCTGGGCGGGTCCCCTAGGCCCGCGACTTGTATCGGGCTGGACATCCCGACGGTTTTCTCATTTGCCTGCGGACGAGGCCAAGGCTCTCCATGATTACTCATATTCGATCTTTAGCCAACGGGGCAGTGGAGAGTATGCTCTCGCCTACATTCTCGCCCCCGGTGCCTTCGCACGCAGCCCCCTAATCAGGCGCATTCAGGGGGTAGGAAGACAGGTGCTTCAGATGCCCTCATCCTCTACGCAAGAAACTACACAGGCCATAGAGTCGTCTAGCCAGAACTTACCGCAGCCCGACTCTACCATAGCTTCAGGCTCGTCTCTGTCAACGTCCGCCAAGCGCGAAAATGGTCTCCCCATAGTCTTCATGTATGGCGATCATGACTGGATGGATGTTAAAGGTGGAATGGCAGCAAAAGCCAAGCTTGACGAAGAGAAGCGCCGGGTGCTTCAAAACGCAACCCCGGAACAGCGAGAGGCGGACCACGGCTCGGCCAAGGTTGTAGTCATCAAGAATTCGGGCCACCATGTGTATCTGGATGGATGGGAAGAATTTAATAGCTTGGTTCTGTCCGAGATGGAAGATGTTGGTCGCAAGGATGCAAAATAAGAAGACATAGACTTCTTTTCTTTCATTATTTTACTGTTTATAAAGAGCGATTCTGGATTACTTTTGTCGGGGTACACGGTGTTAATGGCTGCGGCAAGTGAATATGCATAATGTATACAATTAGACTATGAATACGTATCAAGGGATTGCTGATCTGCTTTTGGTCTCGCTGCTTGGATCGTGTTTGGATATCGCCATCATGTGACAGTCGGTTTGTTCCGAGTGCGATACCGAACCAATACGATACCGACGGTAATCTATTGTCAGCGTCAAACTAAACCCATCATTCCAACAGTTCAACGTTTCCTTCACGATTCTATCTTTGTCTGCGCCCTTCGTGCTCTCACTCCTTTTACCTTCCATGCTGTGAGATAGCGCCTGGCCGTGAAGGCCGTGCTGTTCTGATCCTTCAGTTTATTTGTTCTCCGTCCGCTTTCCCTTTGCTTTAGAAGATCCTTCTGCTTGTCGACTGTCGCGGACATGGCCTCCGCAAGCCTGGATCAGCTGGTTAAGGGGTCACCGGCTCCTGTAAATCATCTCTCGTCCTCATCAACATCGTCCGACGCATTGAATTCTGCTCCACAGTCATACCCTCAGAATTCTTCCGATCCGTCTTCCCCGCCACCCCCGTCAACACCGGACCCGCTGTCAACGTTGCCATCCTCACCACCTCAGATCTACCTGAACCTGCTCATCTTAGAAAGTTCTCTTCGGGCTCAATACCTTGCACTGCGTGAACGCCGGCGGCAGAACACATTTTTCCTTCTACTGCTTGCTGCCTGGATCACCTACTTTGCCTACGCGCTGTTCCTCCGTCCTCGCGAAGATGGCCGCGGGGTAGGCGGCTCCGTGTACTGGGTGGTGGAGATGTGGGAGAAGGTTGCGCTACTCGGAGGTGTGGTTACGGCACTATTGGTCTGGGGCACGGGGCAATGGGAGCGTGGAGTACGTTGGCCGCGGCGCTGGCTCGCCGTCGCCAACCGTGGTCTTCGCACGATGAATACCAAGATCGTTGTGATCCGCGGTCCCTGGTGGCAGGAGCTGTTATCATACCTCTCCTTCCTCTTCCCCTTTTCCATCCCACTCTTCCCTTCCCCGGTTGGAGACTTCCAATACATCGAAAGGCCTGCGTTGGAGAAACGCGCTGGTGGTCGGCAGCACCACCAGCCGTACTACAATATGGACATGGAATCGGGCCTGGTGGAGGAAGACCTTAGTCCGGGAGGCGATTATATCCGACTACTCCTCTTGCCCAAGTCATTTTCTCCAGAGTTCCGTGGGAACTGGGATGACTACCGCACCGAGTTCTGGGAAAAGGAGAACGAACGGCGTGCCCAACTGCGTCAGAAACTGCGCCAGAAGGAGCGCCAACTAGCTCAACAGGATGGCGGCTGGTTCTGGTGGTTTGGCATTGGGTGGAAGGCGTCGCAGCGTCGCCGAGCCGCTGCAGCGACAATTACCAAGTCCGCCGACGACAAAGCCCATCATCGACATTCCCACCACTCCAGCATCTCTAGGCTGAGCCACGAGCCGAAATCGCCTGCCCGGCGTAGCACGCGCTCGGACTCGCACTCACGGACGCCATCCCGAAGCAGCACCCCCGTAGATACCGATGACCGTCCTCCGTCGAGGTCGTCTATGAGTGGCCGTCCCCGTCGGGGAAGCCTAACCCCTAATTCTACGGCGTCAGGCTCCGAGCAAGGACATCAGCACCGCAAGAAGAAATCCAAGACTCTTTCCCGGGGAGTGTCACCCCTCACACAAGCACAGATCAGTGAGGGTGTGCGTACCTCGTCTTTCTCTTCCGACGACTCCGGTTTCCTAGCGGAGTCCGACAAAGTCAAAGATGAGGAAACTAGCATATAAGTTGTAATTCAAGCTTTGAATCTATACCCCGGTTTCTAATGTTGGATGCATCATAGCATGTCCGTACAAGACGTGTGACTATGTTCTATGCCATCTCTTTTCTTCTGCACTCTTCTCTCATCATACTTCTTTATCTCGGTTTAATAATTCAATTTTTTGTCTATATCTTCAGTGATCTAGTCTGGCTTACCAAAGTGGGTTGAGAACCGAGCATTCTGCTTAGTAGAAGATGGGAATGGGCAAGACGTACTGTACAGTGATATAGATGGAATTTTCTATAATTACATCGATGGTTGTGGATGTATTGAAGTGGTACTGGACGAAGAACCAAGAAGCTTCAAGGATTATACTTCGAGGTATTATGCAAGGAACGAAAGTTTATTGCACCAAATGCGAAGACCAGAACTTAATGTCAGGGCCAATTGACATCTGCAATGTATAGACTAAAAACCCTCCGAAACGCCGAACTAACCCGTCGATGGGGATGAAAGTGACATTAGAAGTTAACGTGTCCGACATAAATCCCTTTTCTGCTCCCAATCAAAAGTCGACCATACAACTGAAACTCCACCAGTTCTCTATGCTATTAAATTCTGTAAACGGTCTCGTCATCCTCAAGGAACCTAGAGATTCAATGTTAGTCATGTTATGAGTTCTTGACGTGAAAGTCTTTAGATAGTGTGTGCTTACATCAATTCATTTCTCTCGTTCATGGCCCTCAAGGCCTGGATTGCTTCGGGACGTTGGAACACATGGCTCTCTCCGAGAGATCGTGCTCCACGCACTGCTGTGTTCACAGCCCCAATGAGCTCTTCCACGTCAGCGGTGTCGCCTGTGGTGAACAGTCGTGTACCCATGAGCGGGCCCAGGGCCTGGCGGAAGACTGTTAGACGAGCAGGCTGTATCGGCTGGGACGCACTGGCAGACGATGTCTGGGGCTGCGAAGTGTCTGTCTGGGAGTCGATGAGTTGTGAGGCTGGCTGAGAAGATGCTACAGACATCTGAGACTGGCTTTGCGTTTGAGTACGCGTGCCCTGGCTCGACCGTAACCGTTGACCACGAGGACTGGCGCTGTATAGACCATCGCCATCTTCCGAGGCATCGTCTCCATCAGCGTCCATTTCATCGGTAGTGGAACGATTCGCAGCTGCACGCGCGCGCAGTGCTCCGCTTCTCCGGCTTGACCGCGGGGTGGCACTTGCAGTTTGTGCGGGAGTATCATCCTCATCAGAGTCTTCCTCGGACTCGCTCTCGGAGTCCTCGTCGAATGTAGTGACCTTTCTCCGCTTACGGCGCTCGTCTTCGAGAACCTCCTTGAACATGGCAAAACGCAGAAGAGATTCAGCAACCTTTGCATCCCGTTCTTCAACTCTGTTGGACAGACGGGACTTGGCGTGAGCGGTAGCCAGACGAATCAATGTCTCTAGGGTACGCGCGGTGATAGGCGATGTCCTGCGCTGATTACCAGACAGTTCATCGTTTCTCAGCGCCGAGTAGGTGGTAACAATGTGGTCAGCGGCTCCCTTAGTCAACACGGGCTTGACTCTGGACTTGGCGTATTGAATGTATTTCTTGATAAATGGAATGCTCAGAATTTCAACGTCCTTCTTCTTGCCCCGGCCTGTGTTAGCCATGCCAGCATGAAGCATGGCATTGAACTTTTCATACACCTCTGTGGGCTGGTTTGAATCCTGGTTATCCTCGAGTCCAACACCCAAGGTCTGATTGAGCTGTTCCCTAACTGGAGCGCCCTCTTCAGTGCCAGGCTGACGGTAACGATGCATACGAAGGACGTGCTCGGACACCATCCTGTCCTTGGAATCTTCAATGTCGTCTGTCACTACGAAAAGCAAATCGAAACGAGACAAGAGAGAGTCCGGTAAGGCGATGTTCTTGTGCGGGTCCTTGTGGGGGTCGTATTGTCCGTAGATGGGGTTAGCGGCCGCCAGGACACTGCAACGAGCATTCAGACTCGTGTGAATACCAGCCTTCGCGATGGTAACGGTCTGCTGTTCCATGACTTCGTGAATCGCCACGCGATCTACATCACTCATCTTATCAAACTCATCAATACAGACCACACCGCGGTCTCCCAGAACCATTGCACCAGCTTCCAGTCTGCGCTCTCCAGTCTCTTTATCAGACGTAACAGCGGCTGTAAGACCGACACCCGATGAGCCTCGTCCGGTTGTTGCAATCGCCAAGGGCGCAGTATTCAAAACGAAACGGAGGAGCTGAGATTTGGCTGTCGAAGGATCACCAACCATCATGATGTTGATGTCACCACGCAAGTGTGTTCCATTATCGAGGTTTTTCTCCATGCCACCAAGCAGCATGAGCAAGATTGCCTTCTTGATATAGTCGTGACCGTAGATACTCGGCGCGAGGGAATGAGACATCAACTCAAAAACGTTCTTTTTCTTGGAAACCTTGTTGATGTTGCGAATATCTGTGTCGGTAATAGTGGCTTGCGCAATTCCTCCACCGGATTTCGATGATAACTGAATAATGTTGTTTGCCAAAACAAGTGTGCGGAATGTCGACGAGCCCGAGTTTGCGTTTCGATTTCCTAGAGACCGGTAAATACCTACCAACTGAATTCTATCACCAGGCTTGGCTCGGTCCACGAGATCGTCATCCAAGATCACATCAACACTCCGGGGCAGTTGGCCGGCCGGTGCTCTCTCTGGCATTTCTTGAATCGAAATGGTTTGGTGATCCATATAGGTCGAGTAGCCGTATTCCGTGATGAGCTGAAAAGCAAACACACAATTAGCTGGCTACAGTCAGTACACCTCGGTAGCTTTGGACATACAGGATTCTTCTCGTCATCCTCCTGAGGATAAACATTCAAACTTGTCGCTCCGCTGGCCGTCATTGTTTGATCCCTATATTTCCTCGACAAGAACCTGTCTTTCCTTTCACTATAATGCACACTCTGTATAATCTTTGGCCGGACCAAAGAGCATTTTGTCACAATGCCCTCGAGGGAGATCATCCGGTTCAAATGGGTCGAACCCAAGGTCCGTGGGTTACAAGAGAACTCTCCAAAAGCCCCGACATAGGCGCAGTAGTAGTTCTACTCGATTGTCAGCCCCCATATTTTATGTGTATGAGCGCATATGGCTAGAATAACATACCACTTCGTCTGCTGTCTCTCTAGAAGGTCGGTGCGGTATTGTCTTGATAACGTCTTTCAAAGCTCTATCGAAAGCTTGGGAATAATCGAATGGGGAGGTGAGAAGCCTTCATTCAAAGATTAGCATATTGTGGGCTTTGTCCAACGAATTATCACCTACCCATCGGCCAATTCACGGTTATGCGCTCTGATCTCGTCAATGCTGACCTATTTGAAAAAAAAAAAAAGATTTTTTTTAGCTCCGTATACGCTAATCGTCATTTCAAGGCAGACACGCAAGAACGTACTATTAAGCGCCGAAGTCCTCGATTTAGCATCAACACGATATCAGCACGATAACTGTTCTGCAGGTCAGAAGCTACATCTTGAAACAGTAATTTAGACAAGCAGAGTTGATTTTCGACTTGACGGACCTTCTGGCTCTGGCATCATCACCTGAAAAGGAACAAAGGATTCATCAGTTTTCGTGCTCTAATGCCACACAACACTGCCCATAGTGACTTACGGGGATCGAGGAACTCAATAGCGGCACGCACTCTATCCTGAGCGGCCTCATCACGGAGCTGCACTCCGTCCATGGTGATAATGTGCTTCACGGACAATTATACGGGGTGTATTAGTAAAAATTCAAATTGATCGATGTGATTTCAGTGCAACGAATGGTCCTTATAAATTTCGATAGCACACGCTAAATCATAGAAACGCGGAGAGGAGGGGATGGTTTGGTTCGTTGCGCCCTTGACAACGGGTGGGATGGCGGAGGATCTTTCTCAAAGCTGTGGAAACACGCCGTCCCAATCGGGCATAATTGGAACGCGTGGTTCTTCTTTCCCACAACGCGTTCACACGCGGAATGAGTGATGACTCAGCGGTACGAGACAACCCATCTCTTTAAGTTTTGAGTGTCAAGTTGTGAATTGCCTAACTGGGAAATATCAACAATAAAGGTACTATAGCCCAGAGACTGGTGCTAGAAAATTGAAAGCGTTAAGTTGAACTATATCCAATAATATTCGTACACTCTCTAGATATCTCTTATACATAAGTGGTATGGTACATTTTGTGTTCTGGTATATACAATGCAACAACCTTTCTCCTTCTAATTACGCTCTTTCGACTCTTCGAAAGACATGGCCTCTTCATCAACAACCTCTTCCATCAATTGGTCATAGCCATCATCTGAAGCATCCTCGTCCATGGCAAGTAGATCATCAGTCAAGGTGGAGGAGTCATTTGCAAGGTCACTGTCGATGTTCTCGTGATGCTCATTGTCCAACAAGTCATCGTTGGCTTGCTGCGCATTGCGTCTTGTCTCTAACAGCGACTCAGCCTCAATATCATACTCATCTTCGTAGTCAATGGTCTTCTCTGCAGGTGTAGAAGTGCCCTTGGGAGTCTGCACACCACCGGCTGCATGTACGTCGGTTTGATGTACTGAAGCTCCTTGAGACTTGGCGTCTCGCTGCGCTCGTTCTTCAGCCACATCATATGCCTTAGTTGGCTCACCAGTCGTTTCATCAATTTCCAAAATTGGTCTCCGTTGGCCGCCAACTCCAAGGATGCCGCCAGTCCAGACGAAATGCTCACGACCATCCATGTCTTCCTTCTTGTCTCCTTGTTCCTGACGACGTCGGAGCAAGACGCCCTGGAATTTCTCGCGTAGATAAGGCATATCGGCGATAGCCTCAATAGTTCGGGGGGCTGCTTTATGAAGAGAGCCAAGTTCTGCCCCTCCATCAAAGATGCTTCTTTCTCGGGCGCCGAGCAAGGCAGAAGCCAGATATACCATGGAGACATAAGTAGGTTGCATGAACTCGGGCTGGATTTTGCTCCAATACTTGCGACCTTCCTTGCCGAGAAGGTTAGGATGCTTTCCACGCGTCGGGTTTTCGATGATGTCGATGCCAGCCGGCACACCAGGGGGCTTTAGTCCGTATCCTCGTCGAAGGCTTTTCCATCCAGGGAAATTTGGCATAAACTTTCGCTCAAAGACAGTGAATGCCTCAGTCTGATCGGATATTTTCTCTGAAGATGCAAGCATTTGGACGAAAGTGGACCAATTGTAAGTGGTCAACATAAAGCCAGCTTTCTCGACGTCCGCTACGGCTTGGGGAATCCTCGAAGTCTCGTTCCGATAGGCAAGGGAACGCATGTACAAAGACAGTGGTCGGGACAGCAGGAATTGATATGCCGGCAAAATTGCTGACCTCTTCGGTCGCTCGGCAATGCAACCGTCCAGGTCTAGCAAAATATCCTTGTGATGGCCGACAGAATTAGGCAGAGTTGGCCGAGGTGGTTCAATGATCTCTGTGGAGGGTAGCTGGCTGGAAAGCCATTCATCAACTGTAGGGCGTCGGGCCAACTTTTTGGCACGAGAAAATGCCATCTTCCAGCATTCTTCTACCTTTTTGTGTTGCTCCGCCTTTAGGTAGGCAAGCATCAACGCGGAAAGTAGACGCAACGGTGCTTTGTCATAGACGTTCTCCGAGGTAGTCGACGCCTGCCGATCTTTAATGAATCGATCGAATAGCTCTCTGGCCTTCACAAAAGCTCCCCTTGTGCCATATGCCGTGATGATGTATTCATAGTACATAGCGGGGAAAGCGTCACTAATCGTTTGTTTACCAACACCGGGCATCGGTAGCTTCGTAGCCAACTTGGTGGTGTCGAACTCGGCGATAGTCTCCGCAAGGAACTTCTCGGCATTATCAAGGCGAACACTGGCGCTATCCACCTGACTATTGCTGCTTTTGATAAGCTGCAAATCGCGCTGAAGCTGACTTTTCAGAACAAGCAAACTTGAGCTGAACCCAGGTCGGTTGAAACGCTCTTTGATCTCGCGGAAGATGATGTGGACCATGTCCCGATTGCGGTCCTTTACATAACCATACAGAATTATGGCGTAATGGAACTCTGTGGCATACATCCGATGGCTTCGATGAAGCGTTCTGAGAATGCGACGCGCAGAATCCGTCTGTCCAATGAGTACCAAACTAAGCATGAGGGCAGCATACGTCATGCCATCAGGCTGCAGGCCGGCGGCATCCATACGGGAACGAACCCGAGAGATCGATTCCAAGTCCATTCTGAAAGCATAATTCCAAAGAAGCACGTTCCACATTCTCACACGTGAGCCTTTCACATCCAAACCGAGACAAGTCTCTGCCACGCTCTCAGCCATGTTCAACTGGTGATTGTTACAATAGGCCTCCACGATGGTATCAAGAAATGGAGCGGTGATCTGCACATGGCGCTGTTTTGCTAAAGCGAGCAGCTGACGTACAGTGTCAATATCGCCTCTGTTAGCGCAAAGTCCCATCAGTGTGCCAAAAGAGTGGGAGCTTGGTTCCACGCCCTGCTGGATCATTTTCTTAAATGTGGTAAAACTTCCAGACAAATCACCAGCATTGGCATATGCCGTAAGAAGGATATTCCAGCATACAGCATTCGGCACCAGGCCAAACTCTTCCGATATCCTTGCAAACTGGCGGAGAGTCTCTTGTACATTGCCATATCTCGCATGTACATATAACAAGGGAGTCAGAAGCCTCCGACTCAACGGCTTCCCATGATCTGACAGGAACCTTTCAAATATTTCGTTGACGTTCACCACGTCACCAGCTCTTGAGAAGGCGATAAGCGCGTGCTTATAGGCATCGATTGAGGGCTTGCCATGAAACAGGCTGAACTCATCCAAGAGATACCGAATACCAATGGTGATTTCAAAGGTAGACAAGCGTCTCAAGAGTTGATTTAACAGCTTTGCGGGTGGCACTTCATTTTCCATCTGCCAACGAAAATTACGGTACACCACAATGGCCCGAACGAATATTGATCGGGTCTCAGATGACTGAAGAGTCTTCATCAGACTGAAGTAATGACTAGGGGTTAGTATGGATAAGGCATTATATTCTTTCAGAAGTAGGAGCAGAGGTTCTGTGGCTGTTTTCACAATGATCCCGGGCGTGGAGAAGGTGTGGTCAAGTAGGAACCGGGCGAGTTCGCGTGCTGAACTATTAGCGACTTCATTCTGCAACCATGTGGCAAGGGCGATCAAAGCGTTCGGTACATTGGAAAAGGTTAAAGAGGATGCAACCTGTTCCCACAGCCCTTGTTCATCAGATGTCGGTTTTGATAACCAGGCTTGTTGTGCATAATCCCACTGCTCAGTATTCACAAAATATGCCAAAGTGTAAGCCCAGCACGGGATTCCCAGGCCCTTCTCCAGTGCTACCTGGCATATACGGTCCATCTCTAGTGGCCTTTCAGCCGCCAAGTACGACTTCGCCATATGCAAGTAATCCTCCGCGGACCGAGAATCGGCAGGGATTCCTTCAAACAATCTCTTAACCCGTCTGTGATTGACATCTTCCTCTGAATTGCTTAGGATCGCGAGGAGGGCCGGGTTCGTATCAAGTGGGTGGCCTGCAGTCACGTAAAGTGACCATGCCTTGTCGTATTCCCCGAGCTTGCCATCCCCTAACAATGACAACAGATCATGCTTTGCCCGCCTCCGTTCATCTTCTCGATCTTTGCGACTAGTAATAACGGGGCCTGATCTATCTGCACCAGCAGGTTGGTAGAGGCTCGCAGCTCCCGACGTGTACGTTCTAGTAAGAGTTGCAATAGCCCTTTTCCTCCGGCGTGCGGTGAACCTTCTCGGGGATCGTATGAGACAGGACGCCGCAAATTCCTGTGTGCGTGGAGGATACAAAAAGTCCAAAAAGGGAGTCCGTGGTTCGGGTGCAACTCTGTCTGCGGTCGGAGTTCCATTTACTGTATTCGACACTCCTCGGGTTGAAGTTGGTGAGACAGGAAGCCAATGCGGGGAGTCCGAATTTGTGCCACTAGTTTGCCCAAAGCTAGGATACAGCGGTCTTGGACTTCGAATAGCGCCATTAGAATCCCGGAAGAAACGCCGTCCTGCGCTCTCAAGGCATCCGGCAGCCCGTTCCAGCATTACCTTGAAAGATTGCGGCGTCAAACCCTGAAATCACCGAAATCGAACAGGAATGCGTAGCATATCGGTTCTAAATCTCCTATCGATCCAGAAGTGGAAGTCAGACCGGTGCTTTATGATGTACTGTTAGGTGCTGAAGAGAGGAGAGGCGCACCGTGAAGTGTCTCTTGTGCACGAAGCTCACAAAATGCTGACAAACAGTCGCTCCGAATATCCAGCAAAATGTCTGGCTTATGCTTGATAACCCCGGCAGGATCACGAGGAGCAGAGACCGCGTTCGCAGACCAAACGTCGTGGAGTTGACGCGGAATGAAATTTTGAGTAGGTGGTAGCAAAGAGCTTCGGCCGATGCTGGAAAAGAGAATCCCGCGAAATCAGCCGGTCATTCGTTTGGCCGAAATCTGACCACGCCAGCAACCCGCACTCTCCAGTCCGACGCCTACCCACCTTAGGAGAGAGGCGTCAATCTATCCACTTGATACCTCTAATTACTACCACAATGGATATTACAGATTATATTTTCAACCAGAGAGAGGAGGTCCTCTTAGCTGGTGATTACAATGCCTACCGTGCCCATGCCACCCGCAAATTGCACAAACTCCGCAAGAAGCTCGGACAGACCACACCCAAAGGCCGGAAATATGCTGCCAAACCCCCCGTCAGCGCAGAGAATGTCAACGGCAATGTTGCGTATGTTCTTCCCAGTTGCAGCTCCGGCGTCGGTTCCGCCTAATGCCCACTTGTGCTGATTCGTACGGTTCAATAGATATGTTCACATCCTACTCGTAAGCTCGGAACGAGCATGGGCACAAGCACTGCAAATGAAGTCGGCGCATTCTGCAGATCCGTCAGCAAAGGGAATCACAGGTGCCGCCCGGCGCCACATCATCTCACGACTGCATAAATCAGCCGGTTATGCAAATGAACTTGTCCTCTTGTTACAAGACCAAGCTTCTGGTGCTACTGATCATGATCTTCTTGAAGCGCGGGCATACCATGCCACACTCTCAGGGGCCCTATCATTGGAGAAGCGGAAATGGGAACAGTGTATGCAAGACTACTCTGTATCTAGGGTTATATATGCAGCACTTGGTCAAAACAATAAGAAGGATGCATTTCGGGATCTCCTCTCTGGTACCGTCGACCCGAGTTTGAGATATGCTGCATACCAGATGAAGCTTCCACGATCGAAGCCTCTGACCTCTTTGGCCATCAGCTTTTTCCCGTCGGACGCCAACCTCAGGTCAGAAGTCGAGAAGGTGGATCCTAACTGTCTTAAGGAGGATGCTGCTGGAACAAGGAGAACTGCGGACGGGGAGGTGCAGCAACTTCCCGACACCATCACATGGAGGTCACGGACCGTTGCTTTGGAAGACGCCGCAATCTCCCAGGCTCTCGCGGCAGCTGCGGCGGCGGAGTCTCGCCTCGCCTCGTGGCTCGCAGATGCCTCGGGCAAATCCGCATCATCGAAGGATAAGGCAGCTGCCTACGATAACGTCATTATTGCCAGCCAAGATGCTGTGGATGCTACAAAGACGGCCATCGATGACCTTGTCGGTGAGGGCGTAGATCCTGGTGACAAGAGGATGCAGAGCTTGCAGATTACCCGCACTGCCGTCAATTTTGCTTTGGTGGGATGGAGAGTTGGACGTAATCGCGTATTGTGTGGTGAGCATGACGGCGTACATGGTGAGGCCGACCAGGCCAAGGCAACCAAGGGCAGCAAGGGTTCTGCCAAACGCGAAGAAACCAAAGGCAAGAAGCTGGCTCGTCTGCGTGAAAGGGTCGTTTTGTATGATTCTACGTTACAGAGCATCGAGTTCATCCTCGAGCTACCCGGTGTGGCAGCAGATTCTACCTTTGTTCAGGAGCTTGGCGCTAAACGTTCCTACTTCCGGGCCTTGAGGTATGGCATGATGTCGTTCCCCTTTCCGACGCGGAATTCTCTAACATGAACTTTTAGATGTCTCACCATTGGGCGGTCTCACAGTATCCTTGGAAAATATAAAAACGCACTTGCGTTGTTTTCGCAAGCGTTGGCGCTCAGTCAGGAGTCTGCGAGCTCGGTTCAGTCCACCACCGAAGCGGAAGAGTTGCCGAAGTTTGATATCACACGCAGCCAAATCCAGACCCTCCAGTCAACCTTGCGGTCCCTGGTTTCACAGTACCGCGGGCTTGTCACTCTGGAGAAGATCTCCGAGCAGCAATCGAAATCGGCCAGCGAGCGCCCGATGGTTGAGCGGTTGCACGAGTACCCCGGCGACGGTTTGGATTTGAAGAACCTCGTCCCATACCCACCTCAGATGCAACCAGTGCCAGTGAAGCCACTGTTTCTTGACGTCGCATGGAATTACCTTGACTACCCCCGTGAGAATGTGAACACCCAAGGTGCGGCTCCGACCTCAACTGAACCAGCCACCGAGGAAAAGAAGGGAGGCCGACGCGGCTGGTTTAGCTTTGGCCGGTAAGGTATGGGTATGGTGGTTACGTTTGGAATGAGTTGGAATGATCCTCCGTTATTTGATGCACGTAGGGCCTGGATATCAAAGGCATTTCTACTTCTACTCGAATGGGTCCAGTTAATTGATTAGACTCAACATTCAAAACCTTGAGTGAATATGAACAAGTGCAACGCAACGCTATGGGTTGACCGTGGCAGTTCACTTTAGTGCCTAGTTGTAATTGAAACAGCCTTAGCCCCTTTCCAGACCAGGCATGCCGATGAGGAATTGACTACCACTATCACTCCTTGACACAGGTAAAAATGATGAGGTGGCTCTTCATCAAATGGCTATGGGGCATTTTGGTAGACACATCGCTGTGCAAGTGGCTTTTGATTTCATTCTTTTTAGGTTTGCTAAAGTATATTGCCACTGTTGATTCTTCCTGTTGTCTTTCTCGAGGAACGGACGCTGGTTGCACGTTTATCATATACCGTGAAATGTACCTGGTGCGCAGGATCGATGGTATTGGTGCAAATATATGTCGTCCGCGTACATACAGAAGAGTTTATACTCAGAACAACAACAACGACAACAAGAGAACAAGAAAGAAGAAAAAGGCCGAGAAAGTCCGTAGTACTCCATAAACCAGAAAAGGCATATATATACTTAGTTCTCGTTACTATATACTTGATTTGGTTATGATTTAGCCTCTAGATTCAGATATCTTGATTGGCCACTGGGTTCAACTGACTTACTACGTCGTATATCTCTCGAGTGGTCGTTTTAGAAGATCAGAAGGTTATGAATTATCAATAGCTCAGCTTGGAAGTATAGAAGTACTAAAAGTGTAAAAGTTACGATTCTTTGTCAATGGTCCATAATGCAACAGAGCATGAGCCACCCGCTATTGTCCATGCCGGGAAACCCAGTCGATCCACTGATGGTGCTTGGTTAGGTATTTAATCAGGCAATCCACCATCAAAGGTTCGCGGATCCGCGTCCATTACATTCGAGTTGTGATTGCCTGCCCCAGGCAACTAGTGACTAACTGGCCTGAGAAACAGGACACGTGCACAGGCCAAGGGGCACGAACGACCGGGACCTCGACAACCGAATCACCTTTTCGCTGATTACTCGACACCTCCAGCTTCTCGAACAATTTCCCGAAGCAAGGGTTTACTAAGACCTTTATTTCCACCCCATGTGCACGTACTCCGTCGATATGGGGTTCTATCATGAGGACTGAATAAGGTCATACCATCCAAGTCGATATTTATGTAAATAATCCTGGTAGTCTAAATTAACGGATTGCTTGATTTATACTCCGGAATAACTCGACCTTATTAATAATAAATGATCGGGAAACAACTGAAAAAGTCAGAACCATATCTACCAGAGTGTACTGTTTTTTACGATGTACATTGTATCATGGTATCGGAAAGAACCAACCACTGGACTAGGGCTAGTAAGTACTAGTAGTAGTAGTAGTAGTACTACTAGTACTAGTAGATGCGACTGCAGAAACGGTGCAGAAGTTCGTTACCAAATACAAGGACTGGTACTATACCAATACTTAGTACTAGTACCAGGATGTCAGGGGGAGAGGACGTGCAATGTAACAAACAGGGATCATGATAGGCTTGATTGACCTCTTCGTATTGGATCCCTGGCAATACCGGGCCCCGGGGACGCTGTAAGGTTCCCGAAACCTCGACTAGTGGCCAACGGAAGCCCAGCATTCCGGATGACCCTGATCAACTAGTAACGAACTATTATTCCATTCCATGTAATCTTTGGATATTGGAAGTGTGTTTGACCAGCAACTTCAAGTGCCTGTCCCGTCCGGAGTAATTTCTGAATAGAATTCCCTTAATTAATGCTACCCGAGTGGAGACCATTGGGATGTCTCTTAATGGCGTCTGGAGTTTCTCCGGTGTTTCCGTACGTGGTGTTTCTTAACAGTAATGTATCCGTAACCCGTCTGCCGATCTATTACTATAATTTTTATTTTTCTTTTCCCTTTCTTTTCTTTTCCCACCTCCCCTGGGACTGACTCTCAGCCGTTCTCTCGCCAATTCCAATTTCCAAGAAAGAAGTTGGTGTCTGTCTTCGGGGTAGCCGTCACTCCTTCTCTTCCTTCTCCTTGACCGCACTGTTGGAGAGAGACCGAGAGAGTTCCCAGCACCAATCACCATCCCATCATGGCCAACATCACTGGGAGCTTTGTCTCCCCTTTAGCGGATGCTACCGTTGTCCCTCAGCTTTTCCAGCCCTCCGGACTGCTCGGGTCCTTGCTTGGCGATTTCAATGTCTGGAAGGCTTTGTTGACTCTGTTTATCGCGGCTGTTATCTACGATCAATGTAAGTCGTCTACCTTCTCCCTCGAATATTTTTCCATCCTGTCCTTCGTTCTACGACTCCTCTCCCTTCCCCGGCTGTCTCTGGAGCAATCCGTTGTGAACAATGACTGATGATCTTAACTTGGTACAGTCCGATACTTCTATCAGAAAGGATCCATTGTTGGACCCAGATGGAAGTTGCCATTCATGGGACCTTTCCTTCAGTCGGTCAACCCCAAGTTCCACGAGTACAAGGCCAAGTGGGACAGCGGAGAACTGAGCTGTGTTTCCGTCTTCCACAAGTAAGTCGTCTCTGATCGAGGATCTTTTCTGCACTGGGACAACGGCTGATACCAAACCTCGTTAGGTTTGTCGTCATCGCATCCACCCGTGATATGTCCAGGAAGATCTTCAACTCTCCTGCCTACGTCAAACCCTGTGTCGTCGATTCGGCGCATAAGTTGCTTGGCGAGGACAATTGGGTGTTCTTGGATGGCAAGGATCATGTTGAATTTCGCAAAGGCTTGAACGGCCTCTTCACCCGTTCCGCGCTCACTTGCTACCTTCCCCGCCAGGAGGAAACCTTTAACCAGTACTTCAAGCGCTTCCTCGAGAAGTCCAAGGCCAATGACTTCAAGCCTACCCCCTGGATGCCGGAATTCCGTGAATTGATGACTGCCATCTCTTGCCGTACTTTTGTGGGTCACTACATGACCGATGAGGTCATCCAGAAGATTAACGATGACTACTACTTGATCACGGCTGCCTTGGAGCTGGTCAACTTCCCGATTATCCTTCCTTACACCAAGACATGGTACGGAAAGAAGGCCGCGGATATGGTTATGGAGGAGTTCGCGAAGTGTGCCGCCAAGAGCAAAGCGCGTATGGCTGCTGGTGGAGAAGTCTCGTGTATCATGGACGCTTGGGTCAAGGCTCAGCAGGTCTCCGCGAAGTACAGGGAGGACGTCGCCAAGGGCATCCCCGCCGAGAAACCTCCTCAACTCCTTCGGGATTTCACCGACGAAGAAATCGCTAAGACTGTTTTCACCTTCTTGTTCGCATCTCAGGATGCAACCAGCGCCGCCTCTACCTGGCTGTTCCAGCTCATGGCCGACCGCCCCGAGGTCTTGGAGAAGGTGCGGGAGGAGAACGTGCGTCTCCGGAATGGTGACATCAACGCGCCTATCACCATGGAGCTGCTCGATCAGATGGAATATACTCGTGCTGTGGTGAAGGAGACTCTGCGTTACCGTCCACCCGTTATTATGGTCCCCTACCTGGTCAAGAAGGATTTCCCCATCACCGAAAAGATTACCGTTAAGAAGGGCTCTATGATCATCCCATCTGTCTGGCCTGCAACCCACGACGAGGAGGCGTACCCCAACCCAGACAGCTTCGACCCGGATCGCTGGATCACCGGCACCGCTGAGCAAAACCCTAAGAACTGGTTGGTCTTCGGCACTGGTCCCCATTATTGCCTGGGTCAGACCTACGCCCAGCTGAACTTGATGGCCATGATTGGCAAGGCCAGTATGGAGATGACGTGGGAGCACACCACCACCCCCAAGTCGGAAGACATCAAGGTGTTTGCCACGATCTTCCCTCAGGTATGTATTATCTTTACCCTACGACAAGCCCCGTGCCAAAGCGCTAATGCAACTTAGGATGACTGCCTGCTTACATTCCGCCCTCGTGCCTAAACTTCTATAATCGATTTTATTCTTCCCTTTTTCTTTTCAATTTCCCCTTTCCTTGTCGGTCCTCCAGTGTTAAATTCTCTATCTTGGAGATAGAATGGCCGTACCCTTCTTCTCTTCCTTCTATACCTGTATCTACTTTTTTGTACCATTCTTCCACCTTTGGGGGTTTTTTTCGGTGGTGGTTCTTTTTCGTTTTACCATTTCTTGTTTAACGGATGAAAATTAGGAACGTGCTTGTGCCGAAGACGAGCCACAGGGACTCCCGCGCTCGCAATGTATGAGGCCGAGCCGTCCGGGCGTACATGATATTGAACGATTCATGCAGGGTCGTCAGCTTTATGAACAGTGAAGCGGTGAAGGACGTGCCATTTTTAGATTACGCTACCTAGAATAATAATAATTGTGAGCCTTTTTCGTTTTTTTGTTCAGCATGAGCCGAAGCGAGTGTAGAGAAGATAAGGTTCTGAGGTTTTAAGTGCTTACGAGGAACACAACCCTGCACTGATCGCTCAGGGAATCCCTACCCTTAAGCGCTCTCACGTACTAACCATACGGTAATCTAACATCCAACCACACTACCACAATCCACCCGTCGTAGTGTTATTATCCTCCCCTTTAGGCAGGCGGTAATCCCCCCCAGACATACTGACATCACCTCAGCTCCATCTCCATCTCCATCAATCCCGAGGACTGCAACTCAACCCCCGTACAATACTAACCCCAATCACAAACCAAAATGGCCTCGATACAATCCATCCGACGCCCCCTAACAACCCTCGCATCCCGCACCACAAAGCAAATCTCCGCCCCGCCAACAACCAGACCTCTATTCCGCGCCATCCCGCAAACAACGAGAGCCTTCGGAACAGCACCACCATCACCATGTCTGGCTCGCGGAATTCCCTCCGTACGTCGCATGAAGTTGGCCCCAGTCCAACAGAACTTCTGCCGGTGGAAAAGTGACGGTGAACCCACTTTCAGACAATGGGGGTTTGAGGATGTATGTTTTGCCCTTGTGTTATATTTCCGCCCTTCCGTTTTAATTATCACATTTCCAAATATATATATATACATATATATATATATACCGGAACATAAAGAATCTCTACTCGCGAAAACAAATGATGCTAACCAACAAATCAAAAACAAAAATAGATCAACGCCTCCCTCCCGACCTCACCAGGAACAAAGCCCCAAAAGAACCTCATCCTCGTTGACGTGCGGGAGCCCGCCGAGTTGAAATCTACGGGTATCATCCCGTCCGCTGTCTCCGTGCCACTTGCGTCGCAGCCGGATGCGTTTTTCCTCACGCCGGAGGAGTTCGAGACGAGATTTGGATATCCTAAGCCTGGGGCTGGGGAGGAGGGTGATGTTGTGTTTTACTGTAAGGCTGGAGTGAGGGCGAAGGCTGCGGCGCAGTTGGCGGTGCAGGCTGGGTATGAGGCCGAGAGGGTTGGGGTTTATGAGGGGAGTTGGTTGGATTGGGCGGATAGAAAGGGTAGGGTTGAGAGGTGGGAGGGAGAGTCGGAGTAGTTTTTTTTTTGTGTCTCCTCTCTCTTTCTTTTTCCCTTTCGTTTTGAGCTTATGTGGGAAGGGTTTTGAGGGTTGATGGTGGTTGTATATATTGTATTAGATTGTAGGTTATGGTTATTTGGGATGAAGGGGGAACATGTGTTATTAGAACAGTCAAGTTATCGTATGGACTGTCTCAATTAAATCACATATGCTAGAAGCCAAAGAAATCCAATGAAATGAAACTAAATCACAAGTATCATTAACAAGCATAACTATAGGCATCAACCACGGCCACTTGAAATCCATTTCTGTACAGACACCTTGCTTTTGGACAACCCAGTCGTGATCATTCCTCATGCATGCAGGCTTTTAAGTGACTTTTATTCTTTTTCTCCAGCCCAGCCTAACCCCAGAGATAACCGTGGCCCATCTTTTTTTTTTTTAACACACACGTTATCTCTAACCAGTTCCGTTTTATTTCATCACATCATGCACTACTTCAACGTAGTACATTAAATCATCACGGCACATAAAGAAATCACATCGCTATATGGTAAACCTATACATATGGGCACATGCCTGGTAGCTCGTTACCCGATAGTTGAGTCTGCCCCAAACTCTGGCAAACGGCCAAGTGTCGAATGCCATATGGTTACCATCGAGGACCTGTCGAGATGACAGGTAGGTCCTCAGGTTATGGTGGGTCATAAGCTCGTATCAAATTTAAGGGATGTCGAACACGGGCTTGAGCTTCTTGACAAGACCCCATTCCTCCATCGACACGTCCGAACGGTAGAACTCCTTAAGAGTGTCGATACTGGCACGGGAGATCTTGGAGTACAGGGTGTCCTTCTCTTCCAGTTGACGTCCGTACATGGGCTGGTTAGCTCCCTCGATCTTGACAGCAACAGAGGGTTGACCCTTCTTGACCACGCTGACTGCCTTGTGATCACGTTCAATCGATACACTATAATCCGATATTAGTAAGGCGCTGGGGTTATTGGAAAAAGCGGGAAAAGTGACTCACACTCTGCCAATTTCGATAATTTCCTTGGCTCCGGTCGTTGCGTTGGTCTTAACTGCAGCAAGTGGCGTATGCATCCGCAGGCTACCTTCAATGACATCGACACCGATGACGATAGGGTCCTTCTTGTTGAAGACGGCGACGGGACGGAGAACACAAGGGAAGACAGCAAGCATCTTGCTCTCCTCCTTCCTCTTCTCCGTCAATTCAGCGATATGCTTGGTGAAGTCATCGAACAAATGGTAGATGATGTCTGCAGTGAAGATCTTGACGCCAACTTCCTCGGCATACGCAGCCGCTTCCTTGTCAACCTTAACATCGAAGCACAGCATGACGGCGTATTCCTTAGCCTTTTCCAACATCGTACCAGCCATCATCACATCACGTTTATAAACAGGGCCGATGGAGATGTTGGCAACGGGGATCTTGGAGACACGAAGGAACTCAAGCAAAGCTTCGAGGGAACCAAGGGTCGAGGCCTGGACACTGACACCACGCTGATCCTTAGAAACCTTGCTCAGCAGGTTCTCCAGATCAGACATGACTTCATCCTCGATGTCTTCCTCATCATCATCAGGTCCGACGACCATCAACCGAGAACCGGCAATGGCATGCTCGAGATCGTTGGCTGCGATCTTGACACCAAGGGCGGCCTTGACTTCCTTGTTATGAACGTACTGTGACTTCAGACGAAGTTCCTTCAGAGGTGCAGGCGTCAGCAACGCTCGGATATTGGTTGATATAGGACCGTTGAGACCGCATAGTACGACTCGATCACCCTCCCGGAGAATACCGTTGGAAAGGACTACATCGATGGTCGTACCAAGACCTTCAATCACCTTCACTTCAAGAACAGTACACTCGACCTCCGACAAGTACATGAGCGAGTTGGTCATACGCTCTTGAGTCAAAGTGGTCAGCAGCTTCAGCATGTCGGGAATACCCTCTCCAGTGTGAGCGGAAGTCGGTACGAGAGAGACATTACGGGCCATGGACTTGTTCTCGTAGTACAGCTCAGAGTTGAAACCCTGTTCGGCGAACAGGAGCTTGGTCCGCTCAAGACGCGTACGGAACTCGTTCTGGACTCCCTTGCTCTGCATAGCCAAACTCTCCTGGAAGCCGTTGTTGTCAATCTTCTTCCAGCCATACAGACGATCGATCTTGTTCAGCGCAACAATAAAGGGAGTGCGGCGGTCACGGAGCAACCTCATGGACTCAAGGGTCTGCGGCTCGAGACCGTGCATGATATCGACGACTAAAATGGCGATGTTACAAAGCGAAGAACCTCTGGAACGCAAGTTGGAGAAGGACTCGTGACCAGGGGTATCGATGACCAATAGACCAGGAATCTTGAAGTCGAATGAACCATCCCTGTTCACAGGAGCAGTCTTCTGACGCAGAGCATCCACAGGGAAGTAAGTAGCACCAATCTGCTGAGTAATACCACCAGCTTCGCCTTCTTGGACGTTTGTCTGACGAATCTTGTCCAGCAACTTGGTCTTACCGGTATCGACGTGTCCCAGAATACAACAGATGGGGGAGCGGAGGTTGTCCTTTGAGCGAGCTGCCATCGCCTCCTCATGCTGCTTCTTTCTGCGCTCTGCGGCTTCCGCTTTCCTTTGAGCAATGGCCCTCTGTGCCGCAGACTGTTCTTCATCAGAAGACTCGTCTTCGGAAGAATCTTCCTCGGAAGACTCCTCTTCCTCCTCCTCACCCTTCTTTTGTGCTGCAGCAGGCCTCTCAGGGAGCTCGGTCTTGTTGGCGCCATTTGTGGCTGGCTTTTCTGCATTGTCTTCCTCATCTGTAGGAGCGTCCCATGAATCCTTCACGTCATCTTCTGCGTCAGCAGCTTTCTCCCAGTCGTCCAATTCGCTCTCCTCTCCACCAGCAGCAGCGGAGGCAGCGGCGGCAGCGGCGGCGGCTTCAGCCTCAGCCTTCGCCTTCTCTTCGGCCTCCTTCCTTCGGCGTTCTTCTTCAGCTTCACGCTGCGCCTTAGCCCGTGCGGCGGCAGCCTCCAGGTCTTCTTCCTGTTTAGCTGGGCCCTTCTTCTTCTGTCTCTTCTTGTTATCGTAAACAGGCTTCTTCTTCTCAGCACCCTGGTCTTCCAAGCCGGCAACCTTGCCTGCACCTGCAGCAAGCATCTGTTTCAGACGCAGCTCATTGCGCTCCTTTGCCTCCTTCTGGGCCTTAGTGAGCAGCTTTCCTTCTTTCCTGAGCTGCTCCTTCTTTTCCTTCTCCTTTTCCTTCTTGCGCTGACGAGCTTCCTCTCTCTTCTTCTCCTCCTCTTCTTCCGCGCGTCTCCTTTCCTCTTCCAAGGCCTGCTGCTCGGCTAGAAGTCGCTCCTCTTCCTCACGCTGTTTTCTGAGAGCCTCCTGTTGTTTTTGGAGAGCAGCAAGGTGGGCAGGAACCTTCTTCTTCTTGCCACCAGTAGGTTCTGGGGCAGCGGGGGCGGGAGCAGCAGCGGCAGGTGTAGGCTCTTGCTTCTTCTCAGGTTCGGCCTTAGCAGGCTGCTGAGGCTTTTCAGTCTTCTTCTTAGCGGCCTAGATAGTAGATTCAATGATTAGCGCAAGTGTGATGGGATTGAGACCGAGACCGGGACCGAAGGGTCGATAGATACCTGTTCCTTCTTCCGCTGCTTTTCTCTCTCCTTCTTTTCCCTTTCCTTCTCCTTCTTGGACTTCACACGGAATTCACCCTCACCCTCGGCCTCCTGGGGCGCTGCAGCAGCCTTTGCAGCGGCCTGGGCAGCCTTCTGATTCTTCTTGGAGAAGACGTCATCCTCCTCATCGAAAGTGCCTTCTTCAGGTTGCTTGCTGGCGAAGTCTTGAGCTTCGTCCGCCGCAGGTGCCTCCTCACCCTCGACGAAATCGTTCTGTTGCTTCCCCTTCTTTCCCTTCTTAGCCTTGTTCTTCCTTAAAGCGGCAAGTAAACCGCCGCCAGACTCTTCTTCGGCGGGAGCGGCATCTTCCTGGGGGCTGGGCTCGCCACCGGCTCCGGGGGCAGATTCGCCGAGCTCAGCTTCCCAGTCGGCCTCCTGTCTCTTATTTCCCTTCTTCTTAGGCGCCATATTGGAGATATCGAGAGTTACTGATTGGACGGATAAGGATTCAATCGAGGCAGATCGTCTTTCTTTATAGACGACAGTAGAGATATCCCTGAGTATTCCTACGGGACATATGTTAGTGACAAAGAGGAAGAGAGCGCCACCCGTGTTGGAGATGGGTGAATAAATGGAGGGTGGGCAGGTGCACGAACAAGAATATCAGAATCTCCGGCAGCTATTTGCGGCGGTCGAAGAAGAACAGAGTGGCAAATTAAGCCTGAAATCCTCCACAAGGAAATTAAAAAGAAAGACCGAGGTGAAAAGAGATAACGAGCACCTTTTCCCCCTGTGGTTGATAAGGTCCAAGGCTGGAGACTCGACAAGTGCCTTTGAGTGGGTAATAAGAATTTTGGGATGGTTTTGGTGGGGACAAATCCTTGAGCTTTGATATCCGAGACGCTGCCAGTTGGCCGCCTCAGGCCGTCAAGGTACCTCTCCTAACGAATTTAGCCGCCTTTTGCTTCCTTTCTTCCGTCACGCTGAATTTTTATACATTCCTGCATATATACTTCGAGAAGAACAAATTCCCGTGACTTATTGATCTTCTTTTATGTTCTATTCTCAATGTACGGCATATGTGCATTCCAATTCATCTAACATCCCCGTCTAGAATCCCACATGTAGTGTGCGCTTGAGCCACTTCATTACATCTTCAACCGGGCTCGAGGTTTCCCCAAGAAGATCCTTCGACAACTCCAGAAACCGTTCATAAATGGCCTGTGGCGAGCCAGTCTCTGGAGTCGAGGGGCTGTAGAACTCTTCCGTTACTAGCATGTACATCAGATAGCTCGGCCCTCGGATTGATAAACGACTCAGTATATCCCCATTAATGTGCATCTGCGAAGGCTGAAATTCAAGGGATTCGTTTCCTGCAGGGTTCCGCTGCCTTTTCCTTTTCGGCGTAAAAGGGCATATGAATGTGTCGCGGATGCACAAATTTTGCAGCAAATACAGCAAACGCCATTCCTTCTCCTTTAGTGTCAAGAAGCGGTAAACTGTGCCGTTCATGGCTGTCCCATATATCACTTGGGAGCTGGTAGGCATAGTGGACTGCCAGGTGCCTGGACTGAGCCTCGTTACAGACGTAGAAAGATGTGCTTCGCACAATGCTACGGGCATCATCTTATCGTTGTCAGTTATTCTTTTCTCAGTCAATAGACTGACCCGGCCACCTCTACTGGAGGCAAGTGTGAGTTGTATATCTCCTCCGATATGGACATGGGAGAGCCCGTCGTGTTTCTGCCGATCGTAAGCATGAAGCACCAGTTTCTCCTCAGATGCATTGAGGATCATAAGAGATTCCCTCGAAGTCGACATGTATAAGTAGGGCTCATGGGAGCTCATAGAAACCGCTGGAGACGGTACAGGGTACCTTGCTGCTCGAAGCCATCTCGTTTGCGAAAATTTGGGTTCTAGTGGTACGATCTCATGCCCAGTTGAAACCATTAGAGTAAAGTTACCATATGGTGCGATCGAGTAAACAGGTCCCTCAAATTTGTGAACATATTTCACGTTACATTCGATTTGCGTGGGATCTGACGACATTCTCGACGCTTGTAAAAATATGACCCGGCCTCGGTCCTGTTGGTTTTTACGGGCCGTACCGATAACAATGAAGTGATATTCCTCATCACCTTTCTTGGGTGTCCACTCCAGAATGCAACTGATTTTCTCTCCAGCTGCTCCCTGGGGCCTCCAGGGCCTGAGTCCATCCTCAGGACCGCAGATGGCTTGCTGTGAATCAGGGTCGACGAACTCAATGTGAGACCGCGTGAAGCGCTTGATAGGATCCGCGTCGGTGTCAAATTCAGTTCGGCTGTACGCCACAACCAAGCTTTTCAGGTACTGAGAGTATGCTAGCTTAGTGGCGCTGCCTGGCAAACCTATTCTTCTAGGGACAGTCTTCTCATCTCGCTGCAAAGTGCAAACCATAAGTTGCCCATCTGCGATGCAGAAAAGCGTATTAGAGAGATCTTCCACGTCCGAATTTGCAAAACTGGCGACTGAAAAGCTGTGGATATTTCTTGGGTGGTAGGCAGACTGAGACCATTAGCTGCGGCCCCTAGGAACCTGTGGGAATACCGGGACTTACGTTATTCTGGTCCGTGATCCAAATCCGCTGAAGAGTACAGTCCGGCATCACACTGTCATATGTACACGATATTTGCCAAAATCCTTGCCCACAAGTCAACAACGCAAGGTCTCCTCTGCTCTGCACTTTGAGTGAAGTATTCCCTAATCTTTGCGGGGTTACCTGGGTCATCACTAATGCACGCCGTAGGTCAGCAAGAATTTACTCTCTAGATAAGTGGTAGACATACCGATAGAAGACACGACATTGACACTGTCTAGCGCCACACCAAATGGAACCAGGATGCCACTTCGTAGGCCACAGAGTAAGATAAACTTCTTCAATGGCCCGTTTTCTACTTTGTTGACAATTGCAAGGCTATCGATTGCCTTGGATATGTCCTCATTATACGCTACGTCCATGGTTTTCTCGGACACGAACGTGATAGATTCATTCTCTATGACATAGAGAAATATCTTCCCATTGCCCGCGCCCACACATATGAGAGATCCAAAGTCGAAATTTATGACAGAGATGCAGACGGGTTCGAAATGCATTCTTACCGGCTCGCCCACATCGGTTAAAGAAAGCTGGTTGCCAGATGGAGTTAGCCTTTTAGCATGAAGGTGCAGTCCGCCTTGGTTGCGAACTGCGACGACAATAAGAGATGCAAAGCCATCTACGGCAGCAACAGTGATACTCTGGTCATAACCATACTCATAACGGGAGCACCGCATTGATTCAGAGGTTGTCCCGAGATGAATCGCCCTTTCCGTCACCTGAATAATAATACCTATGTCGGTGATTCCTGCCGCTAATGTCTGGGAGCCACAGTCCAAGCCGGAATCCGCCTCGTCAATAGCACATATCTCTTCTTCGAAATCTGCCGGTAGGTCCAGGAGGACCGATGACATAGGATCAGATGTTAGCACGATAACACCGCCATTTGTGCCAGTCGGCATTGTCCATATGTCTCTTGTTCCTGACAGTCCCTCTAGGGAGACGACCAAGCCTATCTGTGCCTCAATCCCGTGGCGCAGTTCAACGATTGCACCCCGTGCGAAAGACGAAGTGGAGCAAACGAACAGTCGGTCGCTAGCGACGTCTGCAGACAACGGAAGTTGCTGATTAGGCGACCTCACAATTACAGAGTCTGTGACAGGAGACCAGTTCATGAACTTTTGGACACATCTAGGGTGGTCTCGAGCCTTTTGGACGAATAGACCACCATCTCCTGTGTTGCCAGCGGCAAGGAGTAGGTCACCTCCCTCATTGCCGAAATGTAGAATATCAAATGCCGCATCGACATCACAACAAAGTTGGCCTAGATGCGCTTGATTTTCGACTTCACCCTCGTTGCCAATTCCTAAGTACGAGATTTGACCGTCCTCACGGCAAAGGTAGATGTCGTCGTGCTTTTGGTTATATAGCCAATTGCGCAGTGGCCTTGCCCACCGAGTCCATAATGGGGACTTTCGAGACTCTCGATCAGGAAGACCAAGCGGATACCTGCTAGGCTGTCTCCGAGGATCTAGCCTGTTCTTATATACAGCCATTGTACTCGTTGTAACGAGCATGAAAGAGGATGTTTTGGTCAACGGGATGAGCATTGTAGGTAATCTCTCCTCAAATGGTAGTAGTCTCTTGGTGACTATTGGAGACGCTTGGCGCAGGTGTTCGCTCGCGTCCCACTCATAACATATAGCATGAGTAATCTGATCCTGGGCGACTAAAAGGAGGAGGAGAATCTTGCCGTCTTCCTCCGGTCTTGGATATAGAAATTCCATGAATATGATGTCACCATCGACACGAAAGAAGCGTTCCTATGTCGCAGCTTAGTACGTGCAGGTGAAAACTACAACTTTGCACATACCTCTGATATGGGGTCTAGCTGGTGATGTGCCATCTGTGACTGGAGAACTGGTGGCTGCTTCAAAGTAAAGACACCAAAATAATCAGAAGATGCACTAACTGCTACAGCACGAGATCTGGCAAGCCTGTTAGCCATGCCCAAGTAAGCCAAAAGAGATCTCTACCTTGGCTCCACTGCAATATTTCGACCGAACCGCTCGAATGTACTGACATCACTCGGCAAGGGCCGATGGTGGTGGATGAATTGATCACTCGAGGTCGAATAATAAAGGAAAACTAGTTCTCTTGAGGCGAGACTTAACAGCAATATCTGGGGAGGCAACCCTATCTGCGGCTCTGAATTGACAGGTGCGGTGCTTGCCCCCAATTTCATCTGTGCCTCCCAAGGTAACTCTGTGCCCACGTTGATGACTTTCGCTGCCATGATATTGGAATCAAAGTCCGACTTTGAAGTGGCGTCCTCTAAATGGAAACCGGACACGGCTTCCTTGATCTGCAAACTTCGCTCACCGATAAAAACAACATCATTTTGATGCTCACTTCTCAGGCGCGCAGGTAGTATCCACTGGACGATTGGACTTGGTATCAGTGTGCGAGATAAAAGACCCATTTTCGGACGAGAGTCAGGAGAGAACAAGTCATCTGCTGTCTCCATCTGGTCAGCACCGTGGCGCTTTAGGGAGGCATTGATATAATTGGGGTTAGTGCTCTGGTAGTTTCTTGGGAAAGACATAGTGAACCAGTGAAGAATTCGCAGTTGCCTAAAGGCGGGGGGGTACCGCGGCGAATAAAATATTTATTGGAAGCAATAGAATGAATGCAAGAAAGGTGGGTAAAGCTCTTCGAGGGAAGATCGGTTGGTTGTATTTAGTCAGCTTTTCGCCTGCACCTTCGCAGAATAACACGATGCCCACACAGCGGCACAATATGTCCAGGAAGATTGAAGGACAGACTTGGTGATGAATAGCAAAGGGTTAGGGTCCAAGAGGAAGTTCTTCATTTAACATGCTTGAAGCTGTACAAGGACAATATCCCATCTTGGTGTGTCCCGAGTGGAAGTACCCAGGATGTAATTGACCACGAATTGCTCCTCGTCGCAGATGATCGAGGAAGCAAGCACCTGATAACAGATGAATTTCTAACTGAGGGGCAATGTACCTGTTTGCATGTGCTTAGAATATCCTCCTCGAAAGACGAGTGGATTTGAGGACTTACTACAGCATATGGATCGCCATTCAAGGAATTTCCGTACCAATAGCATGCATTCAATAGGCCAGAGCCATTCCCCCCTTGAGCATTCAAGCTTGAGCGGAACAAACAAAGGAACTATGTGGGAATTGCGAACACAACCGCCAAGAAACGCATGGGTCCGTCACTCAAGCTGCGGGCAAGTTCAACAGGTACTCTTGCACCACCTTTGGGCACCGAAATGCACAGTGTTGGCCTTTTAGTGCAGATTCTGCGACCTTAGGTCATGGCAGCATTGTTTGAGAGGAATAGGGTATCTCTAGAGGCTGATAACAACTGCATATCTTTACGGAGTCGAGGGGCTGACGGGATTGATGCCTTGTTGGTCGTTTTGGGGGCGGTGGGCGGATCGGAATAAAACCCAATGAACAGCAAATCACGGGACAAAGCAGCTTCTAGCCTGAGGCCTGCAGCACATGTGTCCGCTTTAGACTCATAGTTGCTCCCTAAGTCCCATTCGGTATGCAATGTGCCCGCGCTAAACTGCCAATCCTCTCCTGATGCCCGCTGTCAACTATCACCTATCAACTCAATTCCGCATCGGTCTGACTTGGCACGTAGCTCGTGGGGCCCTTGCCAGCTGGTAATCATAATAATAGCAATAATCTTTATCATCCATGGTCCGGCCTAGCAGAAGGAGATACTGATAAATCCTGATTTGCAATTCGACTACCTTCTTTCTTTGCTACCCCTATGAGTTTCCATTAGCATAAACAAACATTGGGAAAGCCCGTTCCTTTTTTTTTCTTTTTTTTTTTCCGAGTCCAGCCAAGGATGGATCATCATTCTGAATTCAAGGATAACTCTGAGAGCGAGAGCTCTGAGACATGTTTTGAAACAGCACAGGATTCCGTATCTGAAAGTGCATCTCAAGTGTTGGAGAGAATCCGAAATGAGGAAACTGCAGCTCGCATAGCAGAGAAGGAAGATAAAATTCGCCGGGCATGCGAGATGCGCGATTTGGATGCGTTGGTCTCTTATGCCACTTCAGAAGGTGGCTTTCTTCGCGATGACATTAGACGACAAGCTTGTAAGTCACCAACATGAAACGGCCGTCACACTTTCACAACTAAGAAATAGGGCCTATCCTTCTCCAAAGCGACCGAGACACTGAGCTCGGGGACTGGGAAGACCTATCGCCACATGTAGATGAAGACCAAGTCCAACTTGACGTGAACCGGTCGTTTGTTTATTATCCCAATTGTAGGTATTCTTGCATCTCAAGCTTCTACATACACTAATCCTTTGGTAAAGGCAGTGACGAAGAGCTAGCTTCAAAGAAAGATGAGCTGTCATATCTAATTAAGCAAGTGTTACGGCATTATCCAATGCTCTGCTATTTTCAAGGCTATCATGATATCGTGCAAGTTTTACTCCTAGTACTTGGGGCGCAGACGGCGGCCTCTGCAGTTACGCGGCTGTCCCTGTTCCGCATAAGAGACTATATGCTGCCATCTCTTTCCCCAACAGTGAAACACTTACAGCTCATCCCAGCAATCATGGAAAGAGCTGATCCTGTACTGCGACGCCATCTTGCGGATATCAAACCATTCTTTGCGCTTGCAGCGACTCTTACCTTGTATGCTCATGATATTCAAGAGTATAGCGACATCGCCCGCTTATTTGACTTCCTGCTGGCTCAGGAGCCAGTCGTTTCTATTTATCTTTTTGTTGCGATCATACTTTCCCGCAAGAAGGAGCTTTTAGAGATCCCTGAAGATGAACCTGAGATGCTACACTTCACACTCTCTAAGCTACCATGTCCTCTAGATCTTGAAGGTCTGATATCGAGCGCTGTGCAACTCTTCAATGACTACCCTCCGGAATCACTCCCGCTTGGGGCTTGGAAGAAAATTCCCCAGACCAGTGTGCTGAAAAGTACTCGAGATATCTTCGAGAAACAATCAATTGGAGAAGCTATATATCTTTTTGATAGACAAGTGCGACAACTGCGCTACGAAGAGCGGAAAAAGAAGGCAGTTGGCTTCTTGTGGCAGCACAGAAGAACCATTGGAACCATAGCCGTCACAATCTTGGTCGGTGCTTTCTCAGTATGGCTGAGGAAGAAGGGCTTCGAAACGCCTATATGGTCGTATATCAATCGATTCAAGCTGGCTTTCCAATCTCACGACCTCTTCTAGTCTTCCACTTCGTACTGTGCATGGAGAAGATTGGGTTAAAATGGCGTTTGTGTGTACAATATCACATTAATATACTATTGCATATCAATTCTCTCAGTGGATAATCTTCTCAGACATTTCTTTCTTTTGCATTTGGCAACAAAGTGGAAAACCAGTACGTAGAAAGAAAATCGTCAATACTCCGTACCTTTAGTACTACTAGAAACTTAAAAGCAACACATACGTTGCTACCCGCTGGTCCCACAAATTGGTGGCTAGTGCGTGGCTGATTACGACCATGCCGCCTGTCGCCAGCCGCTGATGTGTACTCTTCCGCAACTCTCAATCTCCAATACAACAATAGCTCTCTAGACCTAACGAGCAGCCCAACATGGCGAACCGGGGCTATGATGTGATTGTAGATGCGGACACCGAGGTACGATTTCATTATCTTGCTTGCTTGACTCGAAACAACCTAATACTGGTTCCAGGGCGACCTTGGCCATACCGACCTTCAGGAGGACCTTGAATTTCATCCCTCCAGTATGTTGTTCACCTATGTGGAGGCCATCATGACTTTCGCCAACAGGAGTGACTAACCCACGCTTTCTACAAGATTTCGAGAATGATCAGCGCAATGCCAAAGTGCAGCAGGACTCGGCACCTTTTCTCGGCGGAGGCTCCTCCCGTGGTCGTGACAGGTCACCTGGTGGCACCCCTTCAAAGCATACCTGGTGGTCGATCCATTATTACGCGCAATTTTTCGATGTTGATACGAACGAGGTTTTAAGACGATGCGTCGCGGCAGTGTACCCGCGCAGCAACTTCCTCGATGTCCTGGAAGGCAACGCGGACCTGTACGGCCCATTTTGGATCGCCACGACCGTGGTCGTGATCCTCTTTTTAACCGGCACTATCTCGCAATGGCTCTCAAATAACGATGCGGAGCACTTCGCGTACGACTTTACGCTTCTCTCTGGGGCTGCCGGCTTGGTCTACGGATATACGTTCGTTCTACCAATTGCCCTGTGGGGTGCACTGCGCTGGTTCGGTAGCTCCACTGCGGACTTGATTGAGTGCTGGGCGCTGTATGGATACTCGAATTTGGTCTGGATTGCCGTTGCGCTTGTGAGCTGGAGCCCCCTGACTGCGCTTAATTGGGCACTTGTTGGAGTTGGCTTTGGCTGGACCGTCTTCTTCCTGCTGCGTAACTTGTATCCTGTGCTGAGTGCTACGGACGCTAAAGCCAGCAAGATTCTATTGATTCTGGTTGTTGTGCTGCATGCAGGTTTCGCCATCGCGATCAAGATCCTGTTCTTTGCGTAAGAGTTCCCTCACTACTCCCCCGTAGTAGTCAGTTCCTTTGCTGATCAATCGCATTTGCAGGCATGGAAGCCCTGTTTCCAAGAAGAAGGAGGACGACCACGAGAAGGACCATGATGACGATAAGCATGACGATGACGATAAGCGACGCATGTTGGGCATGTAGAGGACTTGAAGCTCCTCTCAATTCCAATGTCTCTTGGATCCGCTAGATGACTTGATGGATCTGCTCGGGCAGCAGAGCCTAATTCCAAACTATGTATTGACATATCTTGTTTTCATTTCTACGTTCAGTGGTCTTTCATGTGTGTTTGTAAAACTGTACCTCTCAGAACAAGGGATTATGAGCGAAATTGAATTTTTTTTTTTACAATTCTTTTGATTGCAACTTGATCCGAGAGGGAAGTCAACTATTAACATTTGACTTTGGCTGTAATGTTTCATCATTCTAACGCCGTACAATGCCTCCCAGGCTGCAATCGACTCATAACCCCCAGCAAGTCTCCACCACAGCAACGTAGAAAAACCGTAACAAGATAGATAGATGGAATCGTTTATTTGAGCTTCTTCTTAGGGCGGAGCTGGTTGGTGTGACCGCACTTCTTCTTACGGCAGTTGGTGGCACGAGGGGGAAGGCGGGCGTAGCACTTGCGGCAGATGTTCTTCTCGCAGTTGTACTTGGAGGCGAGGGCCTTAAGGGAAGGCTCGATGATACCACCACGGAGACGGAGGACGAGGTGGAGAGTGGACTCCTATAAAGTTGATGCCCATCAGCCGACCATTCCTTTCATTCAACAATGCTTATCCGAATTCCGAGCCTCAAATTCGTTACCAACATGACAGCCGTGCGATCGGATCTGCTACATCTCCATCGCAAAAAAACCGCATCGCACGGTCTTCATATCCGATCACGAAAATGGCCATCCGTTTCAAGCACTTCGAGAGTGGGTTCCTTCATACCTTCTGGATGTTGTAGTCGCTCAGGGTGCGGCCATCCTCAAGCTGCTTACCGGCAAAGATCAGACGCTGCTGGTCGGGGGGGATACCCTCCTTGTCCTGGATCTTGGCCTTGACGTTGTCGATGGTGTCGCTCGACTCAACGTCGAGGGTAATGGTCTTACCCGTGAGGGTCTTGACGAAACTGTCATCGGAGTCTTGTCAGCATTATTGTCCTCGTCATCGTTCGTGTTATATCTTTCGCAGCCGGTTCTGGGTCGCATCGGCGGGTTTTAAAGGTTCAATATGGTGCGGAGAACGAGGGAAACCTACATCTGCACTGTAGACGCGCGAAAAAAAAGAACAAATTAGCTCATCATCCCGGGATCAATATAACGACACCACTTAAACGCCGGAATAACATACTGGTTGCGATTTTTCGTTGTTGCTGGCTGACGATCGCTGAAAGGTCCGGTCGGTCGGAAGAGGCGATGACACTCAATTTCACCATTTCTCGCTTAGCAAACAAGTGGCCCACGTGATGTCTGGCCATCGCACGTGATGTACCCTAAGCCCTAGCTTGCAGGTCCGTATCCGGCCTGGTTTCATGGTTGATGCCCCTACATTCTGCCGCCGACTCCCGACCTTGCCGTCTCCACAGTTTCCACTCCACCACTTGGATATGGAGACTGGTTAGCAACTTAGCATACCCTAAACTCTTCTAGGTTATTTATAGGAACCTAGTGCTCACTACAATCTGCATGTACCGTTGCTAGAGAACACTGCAGACCTTATAACGGGTTTATATCTTGAGAAGCGTATATTCTCTAATATATGATCTTCAAGAGCTTCCAATATATGACAGGAATTATCTTGCCAATGTGCGCTGCTTCGGGGAGGACAACGATACTTTTCATGAACATGGGCGATAAAGAAGTCGGCAGTGCTTTACTAATAATGGATAATCTAAAACCAAAAAGATGGTTCTTCAGCATTATGGTGTCCCAGCAGCCCCATTCGCCCTACTGCACCTCGATGATGAAGAACTCTCAATTAAGAAGATCTAAAAGACAATAGACAATTCTCAGCACGCCAAAAGCCCCTCAAAATATCCGCTGTTTGCAAAACCACTTGCTGAGGGCTCTTCGAAGGGTATACAAGCTAGCAACAAGATTAGAAACACAAGCGAGCTATATCCTGCTATTCAAGCCGTGAGAGCGAGTACCATTTCCTCATGTGGGATTCTCATCGAGGCCTTCTTATCTGGCAGAGAGTTTACTGTTCGGTTACTAGGAACACGCAAGAATGCGTGGGTTGTAGGTGTTACTGAGATGGTATGGAAGGGACAAACAAGACAAGATGGTGCATTGGATGAGAATATTGCATTCACCATAGTCAGGCCCAAGGCTAACGACGATTGGGATGGGATTGTTGATGAGGTCAGGGCGGACAGATCAGATCCCCAGGCGGAATTAGCCTGTCACGTTGCGCTGAGAGCCTGGAAAGTATTGGGATGTCGAGATGGAGGCAGAGTAGATGTTCGAATTGACCACTCGACGGGTAAGCCAGTCGCTAATGTGCTGGGGGTAAGCCATTCGTCTTTGACGAAAATACTCAGACTACACATATGATTCTAACACTGGTCCTTAGATCAATCCACTTGCCGGATTGCGGCCGGGTTGGTCCCAGTTACCCATTCCTGCTGCGCACAATGGCGTTTCATTTGAAGAGCTGATGAAACATATCTTAGAGAGGGCTCTCGAAAGGAGAAGGCCCTCCAGAACCTAGTATACCAACATAGAGATCAGGGTTAGAGCTAGCAAAAGGCTCCGAAAATACATCATCCCTAAATCTGTGGCTGCAACAATGACATTGTCTCTTTTTGTTCATGCCCCCTAAATGAAATTTCAAGCTTTCTGTTAATTCTCTGTCTCTGTCGTATTACCGTGCTCATTTGGCCATTCGTCAAGTAGACCTCCATCAAAACCAAGGCCAGGTTCAACCACCCCGATGTTCTAGTCTGCTTCAATATATTATAAGAGGGAGAGTACTATAATTCTCCTTTATTTTCTTCCTCCAAATTTGTCATAAAAGTCTTGTTCAGTGTTTGAAAGTAATGTCCTCATATTGGACCCGTTATTAGTCGGACTCGGGGTCCCTCTCATTTTATATTTCCAATCTGCGACTGATAAGATACTTCACTAATCCTTCTTAAGAAAATAGACTAATCTGTCGCTATTTAGGACTGGGCCCGTAGCTTGCAGATTGACAAAGGATGATAAAATCTACGTAAGAAACAAAAAAGATATATGGAACTATCGTTAAAGATCATGGATTGTAGTATGACTCCATGTGGGGATGCCCTTGGCCTATCCAATCAGGCACCGTCTAGCGTTGCAGGTCTCAGGCACCAAGGCCACTAGGGTTTCCAAAAGTGGGGGATGATATTGACCCCTCGACTTCCACTACAGGAGGATGGATGCTTATTAGATCACTTTGATATGTATAAAATGATGTATATCAGGACGTTACGGGGTGTGCCCTAGAGCCTCACGTAGCTACGAAGTAGAAAAAGAAACGTGACAGAACGTAGATCATATGAACGAATCAAACCTAAGGACTCGAGAAACCCTAAAATCTGACGAGAAGTGTACTAAGTGCAAATGAAAGGCAAATAAAGAAGGATTACGAGAGAGACCCAACTATATAAACCCTGTCCTCTCCCCATGACTGCCCCTCTATCTTTTCCTTCCCCCTTTATCTTAGTCTACTGGGAAACTGACTACTGGCTTCCGAATTAACACTCACACCACTCTTGTATCTATTCACTACACTCTGCCGTGCTACTGTCTTCTGTCTCCTACGCTAGTCATGACATCCAGCAACAAAATTTACGTTGTCACCGGTGGGAACAGAGGTCTCGGCCTTGGCCTGGTCAAATCGCTCCTAGCGCGCCCTGCTACCACCGTCATTGCTTCTGTCCGCAATGAGGAGGCAGCCGCCAGTCTCCAGGCCGAGACCCAAGCTGTCACCGCAGGCAAGCAAAGCAGCCTCCACATTCTCCAGCTCGACTTCTCATCGGCCATTGCTCCCGAAAAGGTCGTCGAGACTTTCAATATTGCCGCTGGCGTTGACCACATAGACGTTCTCATCTGCAACGCCGGGTACGCAGCCCCCATGGTGCCCGCTGTCTTGACTTCGGCTGAGGATCTACGGGCATCCTTCGAAACCAACACAATTGCTCCCTTGCTCGTCTTCCAGGGACTGTGGCCCCTACTCCAAAAGTCTGCTGGCGCGCCCAAGCTCATCAACATTTCTTCTTCAGTCGGCTCCATCGGCGGCCAAGAACCCTTCCCGGGCGGCGCTTATGGACCCAGCCGTGCGGCAGGAAATTGGCTCACACGCGCACTTCATCTTCAGCACCCGAACTTGATTGCCGTGGCGCTACACCCGGGATGGGTGCAGACGCGGGCAGGAGACTTTGTCGCTCAGCAGTGGGGATACGCACCTGGCCCTCCTGAGACAATCGACAACAGCGTCAAGGGAATGCTGCAGCTGATCGACGGGGCTACTCGAGAGGCTACATCGGGCAAGTTCATTACCTATGAGGGACAAGAGCTAGTGTGGTAGAGCTTTGTCAGCCTCAACCTATGTTGATGCCTTGTTAGAGAATCTCAGTTGGAAACTGTACTGGAGTATATTATTGCAGTCCATTTCAGTTATGAATTTCAACCTTAATGAGTTAGGACTATAACTTCAAGAAAATGTGTAGAAGACCGCCCCTGGAAATACTCCCTTGTCTTGTTCCTTATATCATATATGCACCAGTTCATACATTGTCGTTGTGACGGCTGTTGCCTCAGGCAACAATTACCCCACCGCGTGCGCTGTTCTATATAGATTCTAATCGCGCAGAGGATTTAGAATTCTTAAATAATTCATTCTATTCTAATATAAATATATATATTCTCCCTAGTATTCTAAATATAATATATTTCTCTTATGCCACTTATCGTATAGCCTATTCATCTACTATACTCCGCAGACATACCGCCAGCCCGACTACATAGAGTGACAGACGAAAAATCATCCCATTCAACTACCTAAAAATGTTCGGACTCCTAAGGTGTGACTTTAATATCCTCTTCCATAATGTGAGGATCGGGGCAAACACCTTGTAATAATTATGATTACGATGATGATGATGGAAAAAGGAACAGATTTTTACTTATTTGGGGAAAGAATTGCATTTACTAGAACAATAAAAATCACAAGAAAAGGAGATAGCTTGCATATCTCTGTACCATCTCATGAACGGCCGCGAGTAAAGCCGGTCGCAATAGTTCGAAGTGCTACCGTTAGTTATCAATAGGTGGCATCTTGTAAAATCCTTTGCTCTCCCAGAAATCAAGGAACTTATCCAACATCTGGGAATCAAATGGTACATATTGAATATCCGGTGCATCCTTCAGGGCTGCAACAGTGTTAGAACTATCATAGTGAGGCGTATTCCTACTTGTCTCGAAACGAGTGAGTCCGTTCAACACTGGCTCCTGGAGTAGTGGCATAACAGGAAGCAAGGGATTATCCATATCACTTGTGTTCTGTAGCATCCGAACCCAGTCCCAGTAGGGGATATGCTTCAATGGATATCCGAGGTCCCTGATCACATCCACTGTCTGTTCAAGGTTCACCGAGTCCTTCGGGTCGGGAGCAACCAGACTGTATGCTCTGCCGAGGTTTTCATTACAAGAGGCGATGTGTAGGGTAGCATCGAGCACATAGTTGATTGTCACGTATTCCATTCTCTGGCGCGGAAGAATCGGGAACGCACCCAGTTTGATACTGCCCACTATCAAGCGTGCAAAGAAGTCATCCGGATTTCCAGCTCCGTTTCGGACGTCACCGATGGTGAATCCAGGCCGATAGATAGCAGTGGGGAGCCCACGGTCACGAGCTCGACGCACCATCATTTCAGAAACCCATTTACTTTGCGCGTAGCCGATGTCAAATGATAAGCCTCGTACGTGGGGCTCAAGAGGCTCATCTTCAAGGCATTTCCGGGTCCCAAATACCAGGCCGGTTGGGCCCCATGCGTCAATGCTGGACATGAAGTGGAAGGCCTTTCGCCGTCCACTAGCAGCAAGATCTAACATGTTTTTCGTTCCCAGTGTGTTAGAGTCAAAATGGGCTTGGTATGGATCGCAGAAGTTAACTTTGGCAGCTAGATGGAAGACCACACTTGCCCAGTTGGCCAGCCAGTCGAACTGCTCTGCTGGGAGCCCGAGCAAGTCGAGAGATATATCTCCAGTTAAGACCCTTAGTTTGTGCATGTGTTGTTTGGATTGATCCCAGAGATCATATTGCTCCAAAGTCGCTTCCACCCTGTCTCGAGGTGTAATGCCATTTTTAGACCGTGCGACACATACGATTTCTTTGACTTTCGGCATCTGTAAGAATCGGCTCAGAAAATTGACACCGACAAATCCAGTGACACCCGATATGAAGACTTTCCCTTCATTTTCTGCTTGCCAATCAGGTACGGCATGCAGATAGTCAGCGATCTTGGAGTGCGCAATCCATTTGTCTGCTTCGTCCGGTGCATTTCCTCCTTCAGCAAACTCATCAAGGTAATGAACTAGATCACCAAGCCGTGAGTTCTCATGAAGTGATCTCATGGAGATTGTCTTTCCTAAATGCTGCCTCAGTTTGCTTATCAGAGTTGCACACTGAAGAGACGTTCCTCCAAGTACAAGGAAGTCATCCTCGTTGTCGATGTTGTTTTTGTTCAGCAAGGATGACCAAAGAGACTTCACGACGCTTGCAGTGTCGTTTCCACAGTCATTTGCTTGTTTTCCATTGGGAACCCCTTGCCTCTCTCGACTTTCTCGGTACTGCTGCTCCAATGCTTTCCGGTCAACCTTATCATGCGTCGTCATGGGATACTCCGAGCAAAAGATAAAATCGCTCGGAATCATATACGATGGCAATCTCTGCTTCAGAAATTCAGAGAGTGTACGGGCACGAACTGTATTAGCAACGGCAGGTATCACAAAAGCAACAAGGAACGGTTCTTTGTTTTCATCTTGTGAAGTAATTTGCCGTACGACAGCACCAGACAACCAACCGCTTGCATGGAGAGTTTGTTCGATTTCTCCTAATTCCACGCGGAAACCACCCTGTTTTACCTGGTGATCTGCGCGGCCAACAAATTCAAGGACCTCAGGCTTAGCTACACGATACCTTGCTAAATCGCCAGTTCGGTAATATTTGATTCCATGTAGGGTGACGAAGCTGTTCTCGTTCTCCTCCGGGCGGTTGATATACCCTGTAGTCAAACCGGGACCCCCGAGAAGGATCTCGCCTACCTCGCCGGGATTTGTAATGAGTTTTAAGTTCTCATCCACGAGGCACAATTTAGTGTCCCCAGCTGGCCCACCAATGCCGAAGGAACCATGTTGGAACTCTTCAGCTTTAATTTCGTGCATGGTGGAGTAGGTTGTTGTCTCCGTTGGACCGTATGTGTTCCAGAGATGCTTTGGAGGCGCAGAGGAATTCATGATGGCCTTTACGGCAGCGACACTGGGTACATCTCCGGCACTCAAGACAAGTCTGACACCACGGAAAGCCGTAGGACAAGTGTACCCAGTAATAGAAAGTAACGCTGCCGTCAAGAATATCACTGAGATGGTTTTCTCCGCGATGAACTCTCGGAACGCGAACGGATCAGTCACAACCATGCGAGGCACGGGGACCATCGTTGCGCCTGCGACCAATGGACCGAACACTTCGAAGAGAGAAATATCGAAGCCAGGGTTGTTTATAACTGCAACACGGTCAGAGGGTTCCAGCGGCGTACAAGCTGTTTTTGTCACTAGATGAATGATAGCTCGTTCAGGTATCTGAACAGCCTTGGGCTTTCCACTTGATCCTGATGTGAATAGAATATGGCTGCGGTATTCGTGGTCTGGGTCATGGATTGAACCGTTCACTTGGCTGTCTTTCTGCGCATCAGAAGTACCAGGAGGACTCCGGCCTGTTATAGGAATCACCGTGTGTTCGATATCATCGGCAATATCTTCCTTGTCAGATAGAATATACTTGGCCCCGATATCAGTGAGCATATTACTCAGACGAAGCTTGGGCGTCGATGGCTCGATCGGTACGCAGGTCAGTCTTGCTCTGATGATCGCCAGCTGGGCAATGACTAGATTGGAGTTTATCCCCTCCATGATGCAAATCGGCTCTTCGGGGCCTAAGTGGTAATTCTTCAACACGGAAGCTAGCCTGTCGACCTCTCGGTTTAGGTCCTTATATGTCAATTTCTGGGTATTGTCTTCGACGGCGATGGCGTCCGGTCTCTGGCTAACATAGGCGGAGAGGTAGTGATCCATTATGATGGATGCAACAAACAGCGAATGGCTTGAGTAGAAGGATAAAGCGAGTAGATAGTTGGCGCGAACAGATTTCAATATTGTGCTCTCAAGAATTGCAATGCTCGTTTTCGAGGTTTTGCTCTAAGCATCCTGTACCAAATCTCGAAACCCCTCACAACCTTATATGTCCTCTCGACTGCACCATAGCGCTCCATACACACCTCAACGATGGCGGAATTCGTCATCTTCATGCTCAATGACCAGCTATGATAGAATGTGTTATTTTTCAAGATGGGAAATTGCTACATTAAGCTTTTCTCGACACAGTCTCACGGCAACAGCAAATGCAGCTCGACATTCGAGGGATCGTATTCCGTTCAATAGCAAATCTGCTCTCATTCGTTGTCCAATAACAAGAAGAGGATACTACTTATGGAGGCTTTTGAGAGTCAACCTTCAATCAAGATGGATACACGCGACATCAGGATTTTGAGGGTCTAGCGGCTAGGAAAGTCAACAACAGGCTTGCATATTCCAAAGTTAAATAAAAAAAAATTAAATACCGCCACCACATTGGATATATTCCATGTCAAATAGCTTCATATTTGTAATATCTTCTTGATTTCCGGAAAAGAAACGACCTGACGCTCATGGGTGAGTGGGTCCGATGATGTCGTAGTAGGGCATCCTCGCCGCTGTGCTAGTTCAGGGTTCAGGGCATCGGGAATCGGGCATCTGCAGGCGATCAATTATACTCTCCGAGAAGTAAGAACTCTGACCACTTGAGACGTGGCTTTCGAAATCTTCACGTATAGAGTGAGTCTAGACCCTGTACCCCGTAAGGTTGTAAATTAGCAACATTAAGAAACTATAGGGCCAAGCGTCAGTGAATCGGCGTGTCAGGTGCTGCAGAGTAACGACGAAGGCAACTCATACATGATGTTACATGCACTAAAAAAATCTTTGATTGGTAGGAGGACCAGGCCTCGGATAACAAGAAAAAGTTTGTTGGCAGTGAGACGGACGTGCTTCTGTCGTAAGCTCCAGTGGGTTGCTTCTCCGTACTACCAGGTTTATGTCAAACTTTACAGCTTCATGCCTGCACTACGTTTATGTTCAAAACCCATGGCCTCGAGTTGTGACCAGAGACCAATGACTTATAGTAATCGGTATACGGCGGACTAAATCGAAGTTCCGGACAATGTAAAATATTACCAAATTTTCTAATACCAACGCACTATATCTTAATCAGAGTCAGTCAAATTAATCTATCTAAAAAAAATTACTATAGTATCTACTATCTATAATATTTAAATAATTGATTATGCTTTTAATATATTTATAATTTCTATAATATTTTATTATTTTTAAAAATTTATATCTTTACATACTGTAGTCTTTAAATTTAGAAATTAGTACTATTAATCTTAAGATAGCGGGATCTTTAAGCTTAGCTTTACCACTACCACCGCCTACTACCACCGCCTACTACTACCGCCTACTACTACTGCCTATGCCTATTATCGATCCCCTACTGTCTAGTACTACTATCACTACTACTAATATTAAAAATTTTTAATTAACTATAAACTTTCTATTTTATTAATAATTTTAGTATTAATATACAATATATAGTATATTTTATAGAGTAAGAGTGATACTAAATAAGTGCGTGGTTTAATGTAAAACGCCAAGGTTTCGCCGTTTCGGTCAGAAATCTCTATTGTCCGGAACTTCGATTTAGTCCGCCGTACGGTACCAGTGGGGAATTGAGGCGCAGTGGGTCATGCACAATGAGTTATGACACGAGTTAGAATGCCGGATACAAACCGAGTAATTGTTTCCAGCATCAAAGAGACTACGGCTACAATTAGGAAATGATTAATCTCTCGCCAAGTCATGCTGTTGGAACACCTTGGTAGACAAAACAGGAATCAATTTAACGTTCTATATATGCATGGATATCTAAAATTACAACATGGGCTTCAAGTCATCCGCAACCTTGAAAGGAGCGGCAGTCTTGCTGCGGATCTCCTCAACAGAGACACCCTCAGCGTATTCGGCGAGCGTCAGACCCTCAGTGGGGCTGACTTCAAAGACGGCCAGATCAGTGATGATCTTCCACACGCAGCGGGGGCCAGTCAGGGGGAAAGAGCACTCAGACAAGATCTTGGGGTTGCCCTTCTTGTCAACGTGCTCCATAGTCACAACGACCTTGGTCTTCTCAGGGTTGGCGACCAAGTCCATGGCGCCACCGACACCCTTCACCTTACCAGGAAGCATAAAGTTCGCGAGATCTGTGGGTGGTTGTTAGAGGGTGTAAGGAAAACTCAGGAGTAGAGTCAAAGACATACCTCCGTACTGGCTCACCTGGAGAGCACCGAGCATAGTAAGATCAATACGTCCAGAGCGAATCATACCAAAGCTCTCGTGAGAGCCGAACACAGAAGCACCATTGGCCAGGGTGACAGTCTCTTTACCGGGGTTGATGAGGTCAGGGTCCTCCTCACCCGGCTTAGGGTAACCACCCAGTCCCAGAATACCGTTCTCGGCCTGGAGGACGACCTCCACGCCTTCAGGGAGATACGAAGGAGCGATCAGAGGCATTCCAATACCCAGGTTAACATACATTCCGTCCCGGAATTCCTTGGCAGCACGCTTGACGATACGCTCACGACGGGCGGTGGCTTCACCGGAACCTAGTTGATTGTGAGAAATGAGGTTTGTTTGAAAAAGAAGACCCAAAAACTCACCGGCCTTGAGCATCTCACTAGGGTCCTTGGCGAATGTGAGCTTCTCAATCTGCTTTTCACCCTGGCTCTGAATGACCTTGTTGACGTAGATTGACTGCAGGTGGATATCCTCGGGGTCGATCTCTCCGACTTCGACAATGTGGTCCGCTTCAACAATGGTGTATTTGGCATTCTTGGCCATGGCCTCGTTGAAGTTGTTCATCGCCTTACGGAACTGACAGTTACCCAGCTTATCGGCCTTGTGTACCTTAACCAGAGCGTAGTCACCGAAAATAGCCTCTTCCAGAATGTAGTTCTTGCCGTTAAACTCGCGGGTTTCCTTAGGCTTGGACGTTTCCGCCACAGTGCCATCCTTGTTGTAACGTACGGGGAGTTCACCAGTTTGCACTGTTTAAACGTCAGCTCGTCTGGCCGAGCAAAAGAAGTTGGAGAAGACGAACCAATTGTTCCATAAGCCGCGGGAGTATAGAAAGCAGGGACACCAGCTGCACCAGCAGCACACTTTTCAGCAATAGTACCCTGGGGAGTGAGTTCCAAGGCGAGGTCACCATTCAGATACATTTTTTCAAAGACCTTGTTTTCACCGATGAACGAAGCAATCATTTTACCAATTTGTCCAGATTCCAGTAACTGTCCTGTTAGGTATTAGCCGTCATCCTGCTGGTGTCGCAGCCACTATCCTTTAGCAACGTACCAAGACCAGCACCCGGCATGCCGGCATTGTTGGAAACCACCGTCAAATCAGTGACATCCGGACGATCACGCACAGCGTTGATCAAAGTATTGGGCACACCCGAGAAACCAAATCCTCCAACAAGGAGAGTAGAGGAACCCTTCAAGTCCTTAACGGCTTCCTGAGCTGATTCACATAGCTTATTGATTGCTCTTCTTGAGGTTGAGGCGGAGAAGTTCCGCCGCCCTACTGGGCGGAACATGGAGAGGAAAGGTCGCGACATTGTGTCGACCAACCTTTTGACAATTGACTCAAAACTGCGGGTGAGTATGGAACTGAGGAAAGGAAAGGAAAAGAAGAAGAAGAAGAGGAGAAGGCAATAAAAAGAGATCCATGGCGGCAGCGCCACGGAGCAGCGACCACACCTCCAACCCCAACATGAGGGTCGAACAACCAGCTACTCCATACATTTTCGGTTAGATACAAAGCCGACAAAGTGATTATCCGCCCGGTCCTCGCAGACCGCTTTGCCGCCTTCCGAAGCCGGGCCCACCGCCGGCTGAGCTTTGGGGTACTGCCGCGTATGGGACTGTATTCAAACTACGGTATCGCGGAGGGAAGAACCCTCATCCCCGCGGGGGAATGGAGTCGATTTTGGACCTTGCATCGGATGAGTTCAAGTTCTAGTTCAGCTGTCA